ACCCAAATAGCTAGAGTTTAGATATTAAGCATGAAACATCTTCTAATGAGTGTCTACAAAGTTTGTTCAAATAAAAGCCCTGGGGTCAAAATTGGCCCCGCCCCGGGGGTCATTGATTTTCCTTATATGTGTATAGCAAAAACTTAAAATCTTCTTTTAAAAAAACCCAAATAGCTAGAGTTTAGATCTTAAGCATGAAACATCTTCTAGTAAGTGTCTACAAAGTTTGTTCAAATAAAAGCCCTGGGGTCAAAACTGGCCCCGCCCCAGGGGTGTCATTGTTTTTAACTATATGTGTATAGTAAAAACTTAAAAAAATCTTCTTTTAAAAAGCCCAATGAGCTAGAGCTTAGATGTTTAGCATGAAACATCTTCTTATGGGTGTATGTGGGGGGGGGGGGGGGCTATATACAGGTGAGCGACCTCAGGGCCATCATGGCCCTCTTGTTATGATGGCCCTCTTGTTTATGTATCTCTCTGATACCTTCTGGAAGGAAAAAGTTTGATTTAAATCAAATAATTATTTTAGGTTTTTTTTTTGCTAAATAATGCCAAAATTTATAGCAAATATGATACCAGATATTTTCAAAGTTCGATAAAATAAAAACGACACGGTAAAAGTATTTTATATTTTGCATGATCAACTAATAAACCTTTGAGAAAATTTAGGCAAACTATGAAAACAGGCCCTCATTTCGATAAATTTTAGGGATATTTTGAATAAGGCATTTTAGATAGGGAAATGGTAAAATTAGTGTTAAAAGTGGGTGGGGTAGGGTAACATTTTTATACGTATTAAGAACATTTTGTTTAGAAACAAACATTTTGCTTGTGTAATGTGTTACCTGAATGTTATTATTTGTTTCTTAATAATGAGCAATAGAAAAACGTTTTTTATAATGATGACATTACAGATTATTTACAGTTTCCTCATTTCTGAAAATAAGCCCTTCTAATGGCAAAGTCTTGGTTCAGAAATATATCCATAACTCATAAACCACATGGTAAATTTTATTTAAATTTTGCATACAGGTGACCTTGAAGTCATATAACTGTCCTATGTTGTCAATTTTACAGTTCCTTATGGTGCCCATTACCCATGGTCTACCTTAAGGTAGTTGCTCCTGCTTGTTTTGGGGGTGGAATACATATTTATGGTATTGGTATGTGATTTATTTCATTGTAGAAACTGACATTTTGGATGAGTCCATAATATTATTCAAAGCTAGAACATTCCATTTTATTTTTTACAAATTCAATGGAGAGGGGATGGGGGTAGGGAATTATTGCAAAATTAATTCATTTTGGTAAAAATCCAAAATATTTTTTCTTAGTAGAGTTTTGTTCCATTCAGAGAAATAGGGCAAGATTAAATCTTCTTGAAGCTGTGATGAGAGAGAGTTTTCAGAGATGCAAATTAATCTGATAATTTACAGTTATAAAAAGTTATTTATAAAGAGAGGACAGAATTAGGTTTACAAAGTTAATGACACTACTTTTATGATACAGAGAGAACTCTGAGGTGGTTGAAGTAGCTTACACTTTGGATTGGCCAGCTGATGTAAAAAATTCATGAAAAGAATTTATGAACCTTTTATAATGAGTTGCTAAATATTGATTGATTTAATATATTATAATAACTATCTATTTCTGAGTATTTTACAAAGTTTATCAGTCTCCAACTTATGGAGGAGTAAGACTGTGACTGATGCTGTTGTAACGGTTTGTGAGGTGTATTTTCTGACGAATTTGGTACTAGACCCTGGTCTCGATCTCACTTTTTTTTGAACAGCAATTTGGTCCTCTGAATTCTTGAAGAAGGGCTAGTAAAATTCTCCCTGATGTTTTGAATTTTTTTGCCATTTGCCCTTGTAACCTCAATGTTTCAAGTGGCATGTGACGAAGGTCAACTTAATGTATACTGGTGGAATCATATATTGTAAAAAATGTTGTAAATAATTTTGAAAGTAAATAATTTTGAAAAAGTTTTTATTAAAGTTTAAGCATAATTATTAGTGTCACAATCAGAAATAAAAGATAAAAAACTTCACAGTTTCTGCCATGCCGTTTTATCGACCTACATAACAGGTAACTACTTTTTTCGCGATGTGAAAGTATCACGTACAGTCTGACCTGAATTTCTATTTATATCAACGTATCTGGGTCACAGTAATATGAAAAGAGCATGTTGTTCAAGCGGTAAATTTGAAAATGTTGACGACAAAAGTATCGGTGTAGTGGTTAAAAGAACAGTACACTCTAAATGAAACAGCAGTGTAAAGGGGTTGTTATTCCAGGACAACCAGCTGAACAAAGAATTAAAGGGAAATGGTACCTCACAGTTATTGTTGCAAGTAAGTGTAGACCTTCTATGTTTTATTGACTATGACATTCTCAGTAGGTAATTAGTAACTAGGTAGCTTACAGAATGTTGGTGGTTCTACTCAGGAGCCAGTTCGAGCCGAAAATAATGCACGGAGGAGCACCTGTGGTCTTCCTCCACCAGAAAAGCTGGAAAGTCGCAATACAACATTTATATTGCTGGTGCGAGGTGAAAACTCAACCAAAAGAATAAAACAAACAAAATAATTTAAAAGTTAGTTTGTCTTTTGCATTTGCAGCCAAAAATCCAAAACAGAAAAGCACATAGTTAACATGTATTTAATGTATCACAGTATGAGCTCAACAGTGCTGTCATAACACTCATGATTAATTTTTTTAAACAAAAGAATTATGTTTTTTGTGCCCATTCTTACAATAGAAATATTTACCTGTTTTTGTTTTTTTCTCCGACAGGGACAAGAAAATATGAAACGCCATGCAGCAGTAAAGAGATGCCCAACTTAATGAAGAGGAGTGTTGATACATGGTCTGTTATCTGATTGAAAAAAAGAGATATTTGTTAAAACTATCAATTGTCTGATATTTAACTGAACTATGTTGTCATTCAATTAAATGCTGATTTTATTCTGAAATTTAATAATAAATGAGTTATTAAGAAGTTAAAATAAATGAAAATATTTGCAAAATTATACAACAATCAACATGATCAAGACATATTATTTTTGTCATATAATAAGACAAGTACATTTTACACAATCTAACTGAACCGCCTCCATGGTCGAGGGGTTAGAGTAGATGACTTCTAATCCAGTCACCTCTCTGGCGTGGGTCCGATCCCCGGGAGATGCTTTGGTAGTTTAGCGGGCAGGAAGGTAGTCTAGTACTGGTGTAACTCTCCAGGAACGATGGTTAGGAAACTACCCGCCTATATGACTGAAATACTGTTGGAAAAAGGCGTAAAATGAAACAAACGCAAACTGAAATAAATTCCCTATAAACTAATACATTATCATATACAACATAAACATGTTACAAAACCTTATCATAAGTTACACATCAATTAATAATAAATAAACATATTATTCACTTGTTTAATACTTTTATTATTCCCTGTGTATATCCAGTAACACCGGAATGTGAAAAAAAACGCAGGATTCGTGCAAAAAGTAACGCAGAATTGTGCGATAAATGGCGGACAACTTGCAGAATTTACAATGCGTTGAGTAAACTGGTCAATATATTTTTTATTTAACCAAACTGAAAAAGTGGAATAGCCGCATATGGTTGTGAAGGCATTTTACTTTATCCCTCATTAGGATTATTTCCATGAAATTGCTTACTTTCCAAGATAATTTGTGAAAATGATGGCTTTGCCACTGTTTTAAGTGCGATTTTGACTTTTTGTCAACTCAGCTTATAAGTACAACAATGCATATTATACCATAGTAATTTCGGTTTTCGGTAGGCAGTTGACATTTGCTAAACTTCTTGTGACATAAAATATTGAAAAAGCTGATAAAATGTGATTGGGTAACGCCGATGTATGTGAATTCTCGGTAACGACGGAAAATGGGATGTGTTTTCATATATAGTACTGAATTATTACACAGGTTTCACGCCATAAATCGGTGATTATAAGCACTTTTCAATTTTATTTTTGTGGGGAAACTTTAATTCAATTTATACAGAATTTATTTTAGATTGATTGGGTGGAAAATATAGACACTCTCGAACCATAACAGTGAGTAAGAAGCATCATGAATGAAAATTTCTTGCTCAGTGAACAGGGTTTGAACAATTGACTTTAAGTTGATCATTAAAGAACATATGGAGACTTAAATTTGAAGCTTTACTGGTGCATTATTGAGGCATGAATTAATGGGCACCTGAGTAAAACTACAAACATTCTGTAAGCTAGTTAGATAGCTTCCTCAAATGTGCTCACCAATATATTTCTCAGTAAACTTTGAGACTCTATGTACAGAACATGGTTGACCTTTGCTTCATGATTAAATGAATGACAGACTATTCTGCTTCTTACCAGTCCTCAACCGGCTTCTTACCAGTCCCCGACCCCCATCCCACTCTGACAGTTCTCACTGTTGTTCCCTTGTATAAAAATCCCTCGTGGGGATGTAGACATGACTATAGACTAGTCACTTCAGATAAAGCTATGAGATACAAGGGAATCCAGGAACCAGTCCCTAACTCATATTGAATAGACCCCTTGGTTCTTTTACATGCCCAGTATATAGCACTGGTACATGTGAGGTTTACCTGGATTTCTTACCAGTACACATCTACTTAGGTGGGAAACACTGAAAGTGTCTCTGAAATATCCCAAGGGTGATACCCGGGATCGAACCGGGGACCTCAGGAGTGACAGCCAGTGGTCTAACCAACTGAGCTATCGCGCCAACTATCTCAATAGAGGACCAAATATCCCAGAGGTCCTCCTTATTTTTAATTTATTATGATTTTATTTGTAATCTTGAAACAGTACTCATTAGAGAAGTGTTACTTATAAATTCATCTACCTACTTTGTGAACAGAATTTTTGTTATTCTTAAAATATTCATTAATGCAGTTAATATTTTGTTAAACAGATTCTGTAATTATTGTCATTTAACTTACATTCTGTTGTTTTTGTGTTTCAGCTGAAAACCCCTCTAAATACCCATGCAGAGTTTGTGATAAAAAATTCAAAACTGCACCCTCTAGACGACAGCATGAAGTGCGGCATGGTCCCAAAACAGAGTATTGCGTCGAGTGTGGCAAACAATTCTTCAGGAAGAGCGAATTATTGCGCCATAAGCAGTGCCATAGTATTGAAACCAAGTATGTTTGTGACATATGTGGAAATTCCTTCAATCAGAGAGACACCTTACAGAAACATATACATTCCATTCATGATGGTATCACATTTACCTGCAATATTTGCCATAAAGTGTACTCATCTAAATCAAGCTTAAACAAGCATACACTGTCACATATGGAAAACGAAGAGTGTGATTTGTGTCATAAATTGTTCAAAAGGTCTTATATACAAGAACACAAAAAACTGTGCAGCAATCCAGTACGAGAAAAGATACATAGATGTAATTTGTGTAATAAATCTTTCTTTGAGCAGAGATATTTGAAAGAACATATGAACTATACTCATGGATCACAAAGATATTCATGCCCAATGTGTGGGGCTCCTTTTCAACATAGAAAATCTTTGCTTGAACATAAAAGGAAATGTTTAAAGACAGACTGACTGATATGCCAAGCTACAATATGATGGCCACAAACAAAACCACCAGTTCTGTTTCTTGTTAATATTTTTTTGTACATTGTATTTAAAAGAAAGAAAAAAGTGTATTGAAATTTAGTTAAAATGCTTGTAAATGTGACATAAAAATATGTGACATAATCTTCATATAATAACTGGAATTTGATGTTTCAACCTGTTTGGAATACTTTATCTTGATGTTTCAAGTCTCTTCCAGACGACTGATGAATTCTGCTTGTTTACTCATTATTGTAGGATATTTACATTTTTTTTTATTCCATTGGATGCGACAACAAATGGCGTATCTCTTACTAAGGGAGGTAACTTCAATACATAAGTTCTAATCTGGAACAGACTATATTACTTGTTAATAAATGAGTGTAGAGATATTTATAGATCTGCATGTTCAACAAATAAAATAAATGTAAATAAAAAAACTGTGGATATTGAATGTTTTTTTCAGTATATTAATTTTTATGATTAAATTATGATTTTAACAACAAAGAACTGGTACATTTTTAACTTTTATCTATAAGGCCCACAAATAAATTGACTACAATATATGTAGGTCACAAAAATTGCTTGTATTTGCTGGTAAAAGGCGTTAAACCTGTGAAATACTTCAGTACCATATATGAAAAAAAATCTCATTTTCCGGCGTTTAACAGCAGAGCACTTAATTCACGTACATGGGCGATACCTCATAAAAATGCCTGAATGACATTTTATCAGCTTATTTTCAATATTCTCACAAGAAGTTTAGCAAACGTCACTTGCCTACCGAAAACCAAATTATATGGTATAATATTCATTCTTGTACTTATATAAGCTGACAAAAATTCAAAATCACACTAAAAATAGTGGCGAAGCCATCATTTTCGTGAATGATCTTAAAAAGTAAGCAATTTCGTGGAAATAATCCTAATAAGGGATTAAGTATAATGTCTTCTCAGCCGTTTGGGGCTATTCCACTTTTTCAGTTTGGTTGAAGACCAGTTTACTTAATGCGTTGTAAATTCTGCAAGGTGCCTGTTATGTATTGCACAATTCAACATTACTTTTTGCAGAAATCCTGCGTTATTTTCACATTCCGGCGTTACTGGATATGCACGGAAATATAAGAAAAGTAAATGGATATATTTTATATAAGTGATGACAAAAAATTGTCAGAAAAATAATGCAAGGGACATTTATAAACAGGACACAACGTATTTTTATGAACAGAACAAGTATTTTACTTTAATCATATTAACAGGTTTTAAAGTGAATTAAATACAAGAAATATGAAGTAATTATCAATTATCAGTGTTTCACCAATATTTGTGTATTGTGTCAGTATGCTTTGGATTGAATCAATGATAGCTTAATAGTGTTAGGATTGTTTAGTGTGTTCTTTAATTAGAATAGAATTTTAAAAAAATGTTCAAACATAAAGGGACGTAATTGATTTTACTTTTAAATGTATGGCAGTGGGTTCATTCCCTTTAGTTATGTTTAGCCTGATGACCTTAATGGAAATATGTGCCGCATCACAAGAGATTCACGACAAAACCAACATAGTGTCTTTGAGACCAGCCTGGATCCAGACCGGCCTGCGCTCTGCGCAGTCTGTTTAGGATTCATGCTGTTCGCTAATACCAATGTTATTACAAGTAAAGAAACTGATAGCGAACAGCATGGATCCATTCGCCCAGGCTGGTCTGGTTCCATGCTGGTCGCAAACACACTATGTTGGTTTTGTTGTGACGCGGCTCATATGTTAAGTTAATGTTGTGACAGAAAATATAACACATACGGATTAAGATTGGAAGAAAGATAATTCAGTGTTGATTGATGTGAAGTGGTTTATTCTGGTGCTTAATGAAGTAAAACTGTGATAAAAAATATATGTGATAATTATGTCACCAGTTTAGTGCATAAGTGTCGCAGTCAGTATGCTGTCTGACTAGGATTGCACTGAAATCTGTATTTTGATATTGAATTTCCTAAAATGAACAATGGACAAGTCCAAATTCAAAGCTGGACAGTTCCATTCTTCAAATTTATTGGGGGTGTGGGGGTGGATTTAAGTCTTACTAATGCAAATTCAACATGATTATAATCCAACATAATATTACTTCTAATTAAAGAGTTATGTTCCTTTAAGAGAAAAAGGACAAGATTAAATCTTCTTGATGGTATTGATTAGACAGTTTTCTTTGCAAATCAAGTTTTCTGAGATCCAAGTAAAATACTAAATCTCTGATAATTGACAGTTATAGAATATTACATCAAATGAGAGAACAAAATTAGGTACTCACCTAGTTTATATTTATGACATTACTTTTATGATACCCAGAAAAAATTTATTAAGGTATTACAGGTTGCAAAAATTTGAATTGATAAGCTTATTCTAACGGTCCTTTTGAAGAAATATATCCCTAATTAATTGGTAAATATCTACATATTTTGGATAATAAATTGTAATTATGCCAAATCCAATCTCCACTGCTTTTCGTTTTAAGTTTTTCGTAATACCTGTTTTTGGTACATTTGTGACATGTGACTGAGTATTTTTCCACTGTGACGTCTTTTGAGGATTTACCAATATGTATACTCACATATTATATTCTTTAGGGTCAGTAATTTAAATTAATTGAGGGTTAATGATTGTAATTGGTATATTTGTTCTAGGTAGGTATTATTTAATTAAATATATACAATGTTTATCAAAAATTCGTATTCCTTAGTATAATAATGTTGGCAAAAAGCTCACCCTATCACCAGAGGTCATTATATAAGGTCTCATTCCAAAATTACCTCTCCCCCTTGTTTCCCCCCCCCCCCCCCCGCACCCAATTAAAAAAGGAAGTCCATACAGCAATCCTAAAATCAAACTGTTTCAGCTTCAAAGACATGACTCACAGAGTATAGGATAAAAAAGTAGTTTGTTAACTTCAAAAAATTAATTTCTTTAAATGCCAAAGATTTTTTTTCCAATTTATGCATGGCAAGGGCCTTTTTAAAAGGTCCTGGGCCTATACAAATACTATTGGTTTTAGAATAAGAGTGATAATCTACCTTTAAACTAATTTGATGAGAACAATGTTAGAGTTTGGTTTGCTAACTTTGTAAAAAGCGTATACTTTTGATATCAGCAATTCGAATTTCATGTCCTTCGTTGTATATTTTGAGCAGATAATTTGATGTTGTGATTCATATAACTCGATGAAAATTTTCAGGTAATTTGACAGACTTTCTTTATTTTAATTTTTATTACCCTTATAATTTCCTCAATAAATTGGATATATTTAACTAAATACATGTAATCTCATTCTGTAGTATTTTCAAGTACGTCAACATGCAGAGCTGCTTGTACACTTTTAAATAAAGTTATCAGGTTTGTTTATAATTTAGTGCTGAATAGATGTCCAATTTGTAATCGAAGAAGATAGTAATTCTAAAATGTTTAACCTTTAGTCTGCTGGTGGCAGCTTAAATTTACCCATGCGACTGGTGCAGACCAGTGCAGTCTGGTGCAGACCAAGATCAGGTGTACACCCATGCTGTCTGATCATGGTTTGCCATTAGAACATAATTCAGAACATGGTAGTACCAGTGTTGGCCCTGCTTGCTCATATTAGGTTGGTACTCCTACCATTCTTCTTGCTGGTGTCTGAAGTAATACATGTGAATCTACAATCTGTCTTTCACAAGAACAACTGGAATGTTCCTATTTGACTTTCATAAGTTCATAAGTTAACCTTTACCATTTGACCTTTCATACATTAATTTTCAGTGTGACGGATATTTAAAACACAGCAAAACAAAACAACAAATATTGTATTTCAGATACGGACAATAAGAAGGAGTGTGTTTGTGAAAGGTGCGGAAGAACATTCCAGTCCAGGTCCGGTTTACACGACCATATAAGAGGCGTCCACCTTGACACAGCACCATACAAATGCTGCGGAAAGTCATTTTTCAGCAGAACGAATTTGAAACGACACAGGTATTAAAAAAATTAAATAAACCAATAGACAAATAGAGTAATAGAAATGACTTAAATTGAAAAATTGCTAAAATACTATTTCATTCATTATTTGATTAATATGAGGACAAATGTGGTGGTCAGTATTGATCAATGATGTGTGGCCTATAATTCAATAATACCAAAATGACCTTTTTCAAACATGATGAAAAATATGAGTCAAGATAGAAAAACAGCATTGTTATTAGATTATCCCTTATTAAGATTATTCAAACATTACTTGTATAGGATAATAATAGCAAAAATCATCAAATACTAAAATGCTTTACAGCTATTTTCCTTGTAGCATTCCTAGTGGACTTCTGTAAATCATGCTGTTGGGGTCAAAAATGATATATCCCAGACCCCTACCTCCAAGGTTTAAAAGTCATACTTGTAGAACCCATGTCAACATTGTTTGATGGAGGGTATGTTTTTTGTTGGTCCATAACTTTTTTGATCAAGCCATTTTGAAATAACTTGGCACAAAGAAAAGTGTGTCTTGTAAACACAGACCCCTTCCTCCAAGATCAAAGTCACACTTAGAAATTATCTGATGAGAGGGTAGATTTTGTTTCTGGTACATTATAACTTATTCAGCCATAGAGGTATTTTGTTAAAAACTTGGCAACATTTTGATAATATTTGAAAGAAATGTGTTGCACAAACACCCCAACCTCCAAGGTCAAGGTCAAATTTTGAGACCAGATGTCAACTGATGGAGTGTATATTTTGTGTCTGGTCCATTACTTTGCGATCTATCAAGGGATTTCAAAATAATTTGGTATAGATGCTCACCACATTAATGGTGGTCAAAACTATCTCCCTTTATGTACTTAAGTTAAGTGAATAAAGCTGCACAAATCTATTTCTGTTGACACAGTTATTTCATTATATTTCTAAAATGAGTCTATTATTGTGTGTGCAGAACTAGCTTTATCAAGATTTTCCACTGGAAGTCTAGTTTTGAAAAAATACTGCTGTTTGCTTCATGTAAAACTTTCCTGGCGGTGTACGTTGATAACTCTGTTACAAATTCTTGTTGTTTTCTGTATTTTACATTTTTTAGATGCTTTAGACACTTCATTTACATTACAGATGTTCCGTTCACAAAGAGGAAAAATCTGAAAAATGCGAGCTCTGTGATTACACATCTGCAACAAAAGGTGACTTGAAAAAACATCATCGGGTTCACGAGCCACCAAAGTACAAATGCAATGAATGCAAAAGACTATACAAAAGCATTGAAGACCTAAAAGACCATATGGATACTCATCAGGGTGTGAAAACACATCGGTGTGGCTGTGGAAAATTGTTCAGATACAGGTCTGGTTTATCCAGGCACAAGTACAAATGTGAAGAAAAAGTGTTGTGTTTTGTTTGATTAAAATATCTTTTGTAAAATATCTTTTGCCTCATTTTCATAGGTTAAGAATTTGAGAACTAGTCTGGTCTATCCAGACACAAGTACAAATATTAAGAAAATGTGTTGTGTTTTAATTGATTGAATATCTTTTGTCTTATTTTCATAGGTTAAGAACTTGAGAACTAGTCTGGTCTATCCAGGCATCGAACAAATGTGAAGAAAAGTGTTATGTTTTGTTTGATTGAATTATGTTGGTGTCATTTTCATATGTTAGGAATTTTAGAACTAGTCTGCCCTGTAGGCATAGGCCTTACTGGCACAAATGTGTAGAAAATTGTATTGTAATTATTTTAAATTTCTGTGGTATCAATTATTAGTTAGTTTATACTTTATAAATAAAGAACTGGTTAATCCAGATATAAGTGTGTGTATGAGTTTTTATGCCCCCGCCATGTAATGGCCGGGGCATATAGTGTTACCCTGTTCCGTCCTTCCGTCATTCTGTCATTCCGTCATCATCAGTTTCCGTTCATTATCTTAGTAACGGTTGCACACATTCAACTCAAATTTGACATATGGATATGTCATGAGAAAATACAGGTCAAGTTCGAATTTGGTCATGGTCCAATGATTTTTGGCAGAGTTATGCCCCTTTTACTTTGAAAATAATATGAAATTTTCAGTTTCCGCTCATTATCTCCCCAACGGTACAATACATTCAACTCAAACTTGACATATGGATATGTCATGATAAAATACAGGCCAAGTTTGAATTTGGTCATGGTTCGATGATTTTTGGCAGAGTTATGCCCCTTTTACTTTGAAAATAATATGAAATTTTCAGTTTCTGTTCATTATCTCCCCAACGGTACAACACATTCAACTCAAATTTGACATATGGATACGTCATGATAAAATACAGGTCAAGTTAGAATTTGGTCATGGTTCGATGATTTTTGGCAGAGTTATGCCCCTTTTACTTTGAAAATAATATGAAATTTTCAGTTTCTGTTCATTATCTCCCCAACGGTACAACACATTCAACTCAAACTTGACATATGGATACGTCATGATAAAATACAGGTCAAGTTCGAATTTTGTCATGGTTCAATGATTTTTGGCAGAGTTATGTCCCATTCACTTTGAAAATAATATAGATACATCTGAGGAATAAGCAGTTTAAGTTTGAATTTGGTTGTGGTTCAATGATTTTGGACAAACTTATCTTTCTTGAATGTTGGAAAAATTTTGAACTTTCAGTTTCAGCACTCATACTTTTGTGGAAATGTATGTAGCCATTATTTTGGCTATAAATATGAAATATGATATTTTCAAAAGGTTAAGACTGAATAATTTCAGTGCCTTGAACATTGTATGGAAATGGTTTGTGTTAACATTGAAAAGTTTTAAGGGCTTTGAACTTAAAATGAAAAAAATAATTTGTGCAAACAAATTTGGAACTAAATATTATAACATCTGAAATTTTGGCTGCATGCGGGGGCATCCGTGGCATGATGACACATTTCTAGTTATTTTTATAGGTTAAACACTTAGACCTGGACTGTCAGGGCATATTATAAGTACAAAATTAGTGTTAAAGTAACAATTGGCGAGCGTAAAATGTAGAAATCTTAATAAAACTGTCAAATAAGTGGTGATTTTGTTTTACTTCTAGGCCATTTAACAACTTGATGCAATAAGTTCTGCAAAGCTGTTTAAAAAGGATTAATAATTATTAATTTGATTGATGCCTTCATGGCTGTGTGAGAATCATTAAAGCACATAAATTGCCTTTTAAAAAAACTACTATATATTTGAATAACAATCAAATGTGGATTCCTTCAAGAATGAAAGCCATTGATCTAGCTGACTATATATATAAGGAAATCTGCGGATATGTAAAGTCTGTTGTTAAGTAGGGTCTGTTATTAATGGAACGTCTGTTGTTAATGGAAAATCTCTTGTTGAAGGCTTGTTGTTAAGGTCTTTTGTTAGCGAAAGGTCTGTTGTTAACAGAAGGTCTGATGTTATGAAAGTTCTGTTGTTATGGAATGGAAGGTCTGTTTTTAACAAAAGTTCTGTTGTGAACAGAAGGTCTGTTGTTAAAAGGTCTGTTGTTCTTTAATACTCTTAAGCTTCTAGTGCCTGAAATATTGTATGAATAATTGAGCTGGCTTGACATATATAACCCATCATGTAGGAAACAGAAGATTTCAAAAAGTGTAATGCATTTCCCAGAAGTGATTAACTTTCATGATTCTTAAAGCACTGGGGTTGTAAATTATGTTCATCGGCCATTACATTTCTGTTAACTTATAATATAATAAAACTTCAAAGTCTTTTAATTCAAGGGTTAAAGTTATTTGAATGCTTCTTTAGCTTTTTACAAACTTAATGTTACCTTATTTTTTATTCATAATTGTTCAAATTGTTGCATGTCTAGAATAAAAATTTAAAAATTTGAAGAATTTTCTTTTAAGAAAAAGGTACCACTTTAAGTTTAGTTTCCTATTTAGTTTTTGCGAGAAGAAATTTGTTTTTGACTTAAATGCAATTGATAGTTTTTTGTAATTGATTTTTTTTCTGGTTCTATGATGAAGTTGCATTTTAGCCTTTTGTTTTGAAGACTGAATGAAGAAAAGTAGCTGAAAAAAGGTGAGTTTATTGATCACGTAAATACTTGAAAATAATATGGAAAATAATAGAATCAGAAAAATTTGTGTTGTCCCGAGTACTAATTGTCATAACTAGTAAACAATATAGGGGGAAGTATGTCTCCTTGCCTACCTGCTGGACTAGGTTGTAAAAGACATTTGTTATATAATAAGATAAAACTGAAGGTGTTTATGAAATAGATATAAATGGAAAAAGATTAATAAAAAAGATTAAGGATCTCCCTGTTAAAACTATAATAGACACAGTTATTTGTTTGGGGGCTGAAATTCAACCCAACTTTCCAACAAGTTTTTGAAATGATAATGATACTACGCATATTACAGTGTTACATAAACTAGCAAAATTTTCTCTGTTCAATGTAAACTTTTTCCTATTTTCCCGTTGCGAAACGATTTGAGATGTTGCAGACATCAGCAAATTTTTTTTACTTTTTCATGATCTCTTCATGAGCAATTACTTGATAAAAACAAATCCATAGCTTTTGTAAGATGAAGTCATAGTATGTGATTGTTCAGTTTAAAAAACATTTTGAAGGTCTGCAAATATTAATATGTCATTATACTCATTGTCGCTGTTGACGGCACTGAATGAAGTGAGTTCAACGGCGACATTCATCATCATCTTCATTCAATTTTTTTCACTTGTATGGCGAGGGTTATAAACAGTTTGTATACAGATAGGTATGTAATCATATTATTCTAAACATAGTGTTAACTGGATTTGAAGTGCGTATGAACTTATAATACTAACCGTAGTATAAGATAATCCGTATATACGTTAGACGGTAGATAATTTGTAATGGCATTTTTCTTTAAATTTCAGATTATACAATCGGTCAGCACAGGTTAGACGAGGAATTTTCAAACAACAACAACAAGATCATACAACGTACGTTGACACCGATTTTCAAGCGCCCAGCGTCGTCAGATGCTTCTGGCACAATGAAGGACCTCAGACGCGCACCTAAAGCTGACTTTCCTCAATTTGCAGAACTTGCTAAAATATCTAATAGACCAAACTATGATAACACGGACAGTTGGTTGCAACATGGATACAAGACTGACGATTCTTTCCGTCCGTTTGGTTGTAAATATTGTTTGAAAAAGTTTACGTATAAGGGTGATTTAAAGAGGCATGTGCGTATTCATACAGGGGAGAGGCCATTCCAATGTCAGTATTGTGAAAAATCGTTCACACAGAGTACTCATTTAAAGTTACATGTAGTGAGACATATGGACCCTGCTGTATAGATAGTTGATGATATTTTGTCCACATTGTTAGCTTAGTGTATGAAGCTATGTATAGATAATTTAAGATAATTGGTACACCGATAGCTTTGACTTAAAAATATGTAAGTGTTCGTTTAACTTTTAACGTAGTTTAATAAAGAGTATATTTATTAAGGTTTTAAGAAGAAATTCAAGTTTTCTGTGAAGAAAGAATATAATTATTATTATCCGGAACCGGCAAATGTGGGTTTTTCCAAGCTAATCTCCTGGTACAAACAAACAATACAATTTACAGTCATAGCTAGGTTCAGGATGCACAATTCACTAAAGATTAGTCAACATGCTGTGGGGGTTGTAGCTGTAAAAGTAATTTCCCGAATTTGCTAGGGAAAACCCAAGATGTTCTTAATTCTGGAGTTATTAATAAGTCTACTGAGCTGGTTATTATATTACCGGTATTTAGTTAAAATGGTCAAGCTTAGTGAAAATTGATGGATCAAATACCTTGTTACTTATGTCTTTCACCTAAAGTATTCAAATTGAAATTGTCTTTCACGATGTTAATGTATTTGTCTTGTATGCATGTATGTTATAGATGAAAAGAGGATCAAGTGCTTCCAGGTGAAAGTGACTGTATTTTGTTGAAAAATTGTCATTTATATGTTACATTGTTACAATGTTTATATGTTTATACATGACATGGTACAGGTGTTAGAAATCTGTGAGCTTTGTGTATTCAGTTATCTAACTTGTTTATAATCTTTAATCTACAGTGCTGTATCTAAGGAGTCTTCAGCTTGTTTATTTTCCTTAACTTTCAATGCTGTAACTTCAGAGCTGTCAGTGTCTATCTGTATAAATTTTAACCGACTGGCCAACCAACCTTGCACATCAGATTCTATGCTATCTGACCGAAACTCTACACTGTTCACTTGACATCGCTTCTTATCAATTTATTATAACCATTGTGTGTTTTTGTTTCACAATTTTCCCTTGTCCATCTGCCTGTCTGTGTCTGTCTCATCCTGTCTGTCTATTGGCTGTCAAAACAGTGGAATGTTAGGGCATCTGGCCCTATGGATACATTCCCAATTATCATTTACTATACAATGTCATGTAAGTGATGAATTTTAATGAAAACACTGTCAATTTCAACTGGTAATATACCTATGTTCCAATTGATTCAAACTATTATACTGTCGGCATTATTTGTATTATTTGAATTAAATTCATACTTTAATGTCATGGCATATCAATAACCTAGTGTGTAACCCGGTATTCATAGGAAAAGGAATTCTGTCAGTTTTGTTAAGATTTTTACAGAAGGTGTAATTAAAATCACAGGAAAATTACTCGAGTGTGCTTTTTTAGCTCACCTGTCACTTTGTGACAGGGTGAGCTTTTGTGATCACTTTTCGTCCGGCGTCCGTCCGTCCGGCGTCCGTAAACTTTTACTTTAAATGACATCTCCTCATAAACCACCAAGCCAATTTCATCCAAACTTCACAGGAATGTTCCTTTGGTGGTCACCTTTGAAAATTGTTCAAAGAATTTAATTCCATGCAGAACTCTGGTTGCCATGGCAACCAAAAGAAAAACTTTAAATGTCTTCTTCTAAAAAACCCAAAGAGCTAGAGCTAAGATATTTGGCATGAAACATCTTCTAGTGAGTGTCTACCAAGTTTGTTCAAATAAAAGCCCTGGGGTCAAAATTGGCCCCGCCCCAGGGGGTCATTAATTTTCCCTATATGTATGTAGCAAAAACTTAAAAATCTTCATGGAAAAAACCCGAATAGCTAGAGTTTAGATATTTAGCATGAAACATATTCTAGCGAGTGTCAACAAATATTGTTCAAATAAAAGCCCTGGGGTCAAAACTGGCCCTGCCCCAGGGGTGTCATTGTTTTTAGATATATGTGTAAAGAAAAAACTTTAAAAATCTTCTTTTAAAAAACCCAACGAGCTAGACCTTAGATGTTTAGCATGAAACATCTTCTAATAAGTGTCTACCAAGTTTGTTCAAATAAAAGCCCTGGGGTTTAAACTGGCCCTGCTCCGGGGGGGCCAATATACAGGTGAGCGACTTCAGGGCCATCATGGCCCTCTTGTTGTGATAAATTGTTTTGTTCTTGTTGATTGTTTAGTGTTTTTATTCCATACATTTGATATATTTATAAATAATGTGTGAAATTTAACACATTGCTTCAATTTAATTCAAATACTGCAGTCATAAACAGCATTAACAGTTTAACTGTCATAACGGCAGCAGTGACTTTGTTGTCCTCTGTACATACATGATTTAGTATTACTTCCTATTTGAAGAGTATTCAGTTCCTTTTATTGTCTCCCTTGTTGGAGGCAAACACACAGTTCACTCCCTTACATTAAGTTGACATAAAGAATGTTTTCATAATATTGTTGTTAAACTTAAAATTTCTTGCTGAAAGCAAATTGTTGTTGCATATTTATGCAAGTATTTTAAAAAATAAAAAAATGATTATCTTGAGTCAGAGTAAAGGTTTTGGCATAAAATACATTGAAAACTCCATGCTAAATATAAGATTTATGATATGAATATTGCTATTTTCTGTTTTGATGCTATATGATTAGTATTCGTTTTTGGTGTTTATGTTTACTTGTGGCTATTATTTAAAATAATAAAAATATTTTTTAACAAAATATATGAATAACGCACTGGGTGTCGCCGATGTTTGTGTGCAAACTTTGTGACTTTCATGCCCTTGTCTGGTGCTAAGTGAAAATGTTAATTAACATGGCATTACAAAAGACTCTTAAGTGCCCGTTGCATACTTTCAATTTTACTAAATATGTTTTGCATTATTTTTGAAGATCATTGTTTTTCCTTGTGTTTCCTTGTGGGTAAATTTTTTTTTTGTAGTCATGTTTTGGTATTAGATTGACCTTGTAAAACTGTGTAAATTTGTATGTTACTGATTGTTGGTGACTTAACCCATGTAGAACCACTGCTATAATGTTAAAACCTTACAAATTACCATTTGTCCATCATGACTGTACTTGAAATGGCCTTTTTTTCATGAGAAAAGGCTATACCATGTGAGTTAAAGAAATTGTTTCACTCATGGCTGAAATAATTCTGAGAGGAAGTTCTGACGTTTTCTCCACCAGTAAAGCTTGAAAGTAACCCGTAAGACCTTAACTGTACCTGTTGGTATTGCGGCTGAGTTGCTTAGTCAGGTTAATACATCACACTAGATTGTTGGCTGTGTGGGTTTAATCCCTGTATGGGACAAGCCGTTGAACTTGTTTCCTTTAGGGAAAAAAAATTATATTCACAAAGTTTTTATTTCCGCGTTCACGTCACATTCTGTTTAGCGTATAGTTAAACGGACATTGCATCATTTGTTATTTTAAACATCAATTTCTTTTTAAGAAGACTTAACGTCGAAATCAAACTGGAAAAAAATCTGTATAAACTAGCAGTGTTTGTTTGACATATTATTATCAAAGTATTTTTTACCTGTGGTGCATTTTGATTTAGATGTTCATATTTTAGCAAGATTAAAGTGCTAAATTTTTTGAAACTTGTATACTGCTGAATATGTAACATTGTTAAACTGCTTAATTTGTGTACAAATTCTTGCCTGCTTTGAATTTGGAACAGTCCATTCAAAGTTTATGGGATTTCAAGACTTGAGCTGCCAACAGTATAGAGTCTCAGGTCAGACTTTGGGGGTTTGTAAGCTGGCCTGGCTCTATACTGGTGGTCAAGGCTGATAACATTTCAGCAATTTCTAGCAGGTTAAGGATTGAATTATTGTTCAGTATTGTTGACAGTCATTCACACAATGGCTAAATTAACTATATAAAAAGTCAAATGTGATATATATAATGTTAAATTTTTGGTGAAAATAAAATTATACATGGAACAAGTAAGGTTTTGTTTTTCACTCATGTTAGTCATTAAAAACATTAAAGATTGTTTAATTTGTTTTTGCTATCTGGGGTTGTCTACATGTTGTCTTTAACTGCCAACCTGCTAAAAAATTCCAATAGAATTTCCCTGCTTAGTTTTTGGAACATTCTATTCAATGTTTTAAGGAATTTCGTTGACAATATCAAAAAGCTACTTTGCATTTGGAACAGTCTATGCAAAGTTTCAGGGATTTCAACGTCAAAATTAAAAAAATAAGCCATTGACAGTATTACGAAAGCGGGGTCTGCCTGCACAGAATCGGATGTACAGGCTGACTTGGCTCTACTCTGGTGGCAAAGGCTATGGGGCAATCACCTTCAATTCCAGAAGGTTATGCAATATCTCTTGTTTTCTTACATAAAATTCCTATTTCAATTTTAAAATAAAGATGATTTATATACGCTCACATTAACCGAAATGTGATGTTAGAGATATTAACTTTGGTAAAGTTCATGAAAAGTAATCTGGAAAAAAAAATAAGGAAATTCGAGCTGTCATGACATTTAAAAAATGAATATAGCGAAATTTTCTCCTAAAATGTACTATGACATCATCATCATTATCATAATGGAATTTCTGTGATAAATATTCTTAGGAGAGGAGATGCTTTAAGATGTCGGAAATTTCATGTGATTAGAGATTAAAACATATTAACAAGACATGTTTTTCTAACAGATTAATTATTGTCATTAAAGTTAACCTTCTGAAAAATAATATATTTGATATAACACAGAATATCCATCTCATACTGATTTATAATATCCATATAATATATATATATAGGATAACTTAAGCATAGACCAGTTAAGAGAGCCAAACACACCTGCTTGGAGTGTTGTAAACAGGGTAATTTAAGCCTTCCATTATAAGGCACAACAGCCTTTGCAAACAACTTTATTCCAGTTCTAAAAGCTAAGTAACGACAAAAATTGACAGTCTGCCCCCAATTATCTATTTTAATTGGGAAGATCGAGTTAAAATTAGGAAGAATACATCTTTTTTTGCAGCCGACACATTCCATCATTTTAGAAATAAATAGTAGGACATGGCAGGAAGATTTTCCAAATACAGAGAGACTTTTTGCAATATACAGATTGTAAACACAGAGTTTTAAGGATCTTGTTTTGATAATTAACGGTATGAGATTATCATATCTGATTTTAAAATTGTATCTTGATCTTTGAATTTGATTTTAAAGTAATCAACACTTCATTAGGTGATGTTCTCTCAATAATCAATCGGAAACACAGTAATATAACCGGAAACATTAGATCTCTTTAGTTTTAAGTTATCTATACTGATCACCTGCATTTTCTTTGAGGGTCTAACTTTTGATAATTTTGTGTGTTTCAGAAGGAAACGGAGCAGAGAATCGTTACGCTGATGGCAATAAAAAAGGCAGTGTACTCATTTCGCACTGGACACATGTATCTTCCAATTTGACTGGTTTTCATACAGAAAAATTGACTGGTCTTCCATCTTTTGGTCATTTAAACCCACAGACTAGTTCTTCAACAGGATTTTGGGCTGGTTCCACAGCATCAAATTTATCAATTAAATCTGAGAAATCGCATAGTACCAGTCTAGGATATGACTTAGGTGCTCTGAGACATTTTGTTGAGACAAATAGTGGGAAAAAAGTGCCTCCTGGTGAATATACTTGTGAGATATGTGGTAAAGTGTATTCAATACGCCAACATTTGAGCCGGCATTACTCGGTTCATACAGGAGAAAGAATGTTCTTCTGTACGTTGTGCCGGAAAGATTTTAGATTGAAGCATCATTTAAAAGAACATCTAATTCTTGTACACAAAAAGACACCGCAAGATACTGAACCGTTTATACAAAAGAAACATCGAGAGTGATATATACAATGTAGTTATTTTTAGAAATTTTATTAAAGGAACTCCACTGAGGTCTAAAAGCCTAAAATCGTAAAATTTGGATTTCATACATAGAGTGAGAGACAAACTAGCGGCATGAGGCACTTAAAACAGAATGATATGCAATAATAATAATAATAATAAAGACTTTATTTAAAGAGGCAACATAGTTTAGCCTTTAGGCAAGCCCAGTCTTCCCTATGAGCCTCTATAATAGAAATTTAAGAAAATTAAAATACTCTGAATGAATCGAAAACCATATTTTTCGTGAAATTTTGCACACAAGTTATTGGTTAGATATATTTAAACATGTTCAAACGGAACATTAATCTTGAAATATTGTTTTCAGTCCCATTATGTTTAAGAATGTCAGTGGAGTCCCTTTAAATGTATACCTGTTATTCCAAAAGCAGGATAAAGAAAATGACCAGGAAGCGTCTTTAAAATATTATGAGATTATCATAGATTATCAATATACATGTATATAGTATATATATTTTATTCTAGTCAGTTATAAATATTACATATAATTAGATCATAGATCAAAATTTTATATATAAAAACTTCTATGAATTGTTTATTCTTGATATATGAATTTAATTCACTGATTTAAAAAATTGTCTCACAAAAATTCTTTTATTTTTTTTATTATTTTTTGCCTCAGAATTATAAATTTAATTTAGTATAATGGTATATGTAGAGTGCAATACTTTGATTTTGCAATGATATATGTACTTATTTACCTTATTTTAGCAAATTTAATTATACATGAATCTTCCATATAACCTAGTTTTAACCTACCAAGTTTGCTTGTATGCTGTATTGAGGTAAAATAAATTTATCATGTTGCACAATCTCCTTAACGGCAGAAAACCTTATAACAACCAGAATCTTACACCACAAAAAGTAGTTCTTTCACTCGTTTCACTCCTAATCAGCACTCGAATGTGTATAATATATTTAAATATTTTCTGATTAATTGTGGATTTTAACCCACTTAGAATACCCAAAGTATTAAGTAGCCTTTGCCACTAGTATAGGGCCAGGCCAGTCTGTACTTCCATGAAGCCGCACTAGGCTCTTACGACGTGAAGGGACATAATTGTATGAAATAGAAGTTAACAACTTGAAGAGACATAAGTATATGGAATTTGTCGTTGTCAATAATGGTTTATGACTTGAAGAGACATAAATGTATGGTATAATATTGACAATAGAAGTTTATGACTTAAAGAGACATAAATGTATGGTATACCGTATAAGTACTTTTTTCTGGGGGAACTTTATTTCTGCTATTTCTGCAGTTCATTATAAACGACACCGCAGATTTAAAAACAACAGAAAATTAAGCCTTTCCCTATATCTATGTCGGAATATGTCAACTACCAGTATTTTATAATTACATTACTATGTACAGTTATCGGTTAATTTTGTAAGAATATCTAAATTAAAAAGCAGAAATAAAAAACATCAATGCAAGAATGATGACACTGCAGAAATAAGATACGCAGAAATTTAAAAACCCCTATTTTAACAAAAATCGCAGAATATTAAGCCCGCAGAAATAATATACGGTATTATGTTGCCAATAGAGGTTACATTGAAAAGACATAAATGAAAGGCTGATTATAGTTTCAACACTCATGAGGGATTGCCACTTGAGGTGGCATATATATAATATATTATGTTGTTCATGAGGGTTTTCTGCCTGAAAAGACATAAATGAAATGGTCCTCCTGTTGCTCTTGAGAATTAACAACTTGAGTAGACATAAATAGAGTGACTTGACAATGTTTCCAGTTTATTTTGAGTTTACAACTTGAAAAGACATTAAAAGAGTAACAGTATGTTTTCAGTTGATAAGGAATAAACTGAAAGCACTCCTAAACTATGAATCTGTTTATGTCTCTTCAAGTTGTAAATTATTAACAAAATATTCAAAAAGTTGTTGAGTTTCTTTTCTTAGTTTATCAGATTGACAGTGACTTAAAGAAACATCCTGTTCTTTTTCCGTCTATATGTAACTTGAATAGACATAACTGTATAATTGTTTACTTTGTTTTGATGCCCTTCCCTTCTCTATGATGTTAACTCAAATAGACATTAAGTGGTGAAAGATTCCTCATTTAGAAGCTTGAGGGTCCTCTCCGATATTATGTTTATGCATTTGAATATTATTTGAAATATATTGACTATTTTCCTAATTAGTGTAAATCTGAATGGTGCATTATAATGTTTGTGTGACAAGGAAAATAATTGTGATCTAATTTATGTTTTTCTAGGATACTAATATTATAGTCTCTTGGTCAGAAGGACTAATTCTTTTCTTTTAAATTACAGATCCTGCTCTTGATAGACTTCTGATAGACCAGAATGCAACACAAACAATGATGTCGGGTGGCACGCATGCAGCCAGTCCTCGGTTAAATCCAACCTCGGCCCAAGAACTTGCCAGTCTCAGAAACAGTGCCCATCCTTGCCCATTCTGCACCAAGATATTTGGAGCAAAAGCCGATCTTGGCCGACATTTGTTAATTCACACTGGAGATAAACCACATAAATGTAACATTTGCGGGAAGAACTTCCGTCTGCCACACCACCTGAAGAAACATAAATTTATCGTGCACAAAACTGTAGATTAAGATTATTGATTGCATGACCAAGACATTGTGGAAATTTGATTTTTTCTTTCTTACCATAATAGTTTATTTTGCTTATAATGTAGTCTCAACATTTCAACTGCAAGACCGACTGATTTTACAACTGATTTCAATTAGTAAATAAGTTTAAATAGATATTTGTAGAGATTTTGATTGCCGGCCCATGCATAGAAGATAAACTTTCCTCATAGTTTATATCATTAGTGAGTTTTGTGTGAGAGGGCCACTGTCAATTATCGTAGATGTTGGTAGCGCAGTTTTTGTATTTCAAATTTGAAAGGGACAGTGTGTTAAAGGAGGGCTAATAAATGGTGAGCAGACTATTTCAGCACCTGCTCTACTAGTCTAGAGTAATATTTATGTTTATTTAAGCGGTTGGGTTAGCTCAATAGGAAGAACATTTAATTATGAATCTGGTGACCCAGGTTTGATTCCCAAACAGTGCGAGATACTTTTGTTGATATTGATCATGACAGACTGTTACCTCTGCTTTGGCATGTACAGGAGTTGTCAGTGAAAACTACCAACACTACACCATATTCATCAATTCCGGGTTAGTGAATTTTGAACCGAGGTTATCACTATTGTTGTGCATATTTTGAATGTAATGTTTTAGCAAAGTCTGTTCAGCTTACGTTGTTTAAAAGGAATATTAAAGACTGCTACAAGAGCAGCAAAATTCCATGGCAAATTAATATAAAAGAAATAGTAATAAAAACTTGTAAAGAATCGCTGACAGAATTTCCCGCTTTATTATGGATAAAAATGTGGTGTTTTCTTTTTTCTTCTTATACATGTATTGTTTGTTGATTACTTCCCATGGCTTTTTGATTCACAATACCAAATATCACTTAACAGATTCTGTAGCTGAATGGTTTAGGTTGTTGACTTAATTTTTTTATAACAATGGCTTACCACTCATCACTGTGGTTTGAATCTCAACACACTTTCCATGTGATGAAGCTTACTGAAGCTAGCTGGTTCTACTCCGATGCCTGCATGTGCCCCAAGGATCACCTGATCCCTTCTTCCAGTTTTGAGCTGAAAGTTTGCCATAAGACAATATTAGTGTGAGTCTTAGCATTTGATTAAAACCCATAAAAAGAGGTAAATAAAATGATTAAAATTGAAGCAAAAAGTACCTTTAATGTCAGGAGTAAAGTTCGTGTGAAAATGAAATTAAAGAAAAAAAAATTTAAACAATATTGAAAAAAAAAGAAAAAAAGTTGCTTATGAATGCTCTATGTGGTAATTAATTGCTTTGACATGAGTCTTGTTGAAATGTTATAACAGATTAAGAAAATACACCAGGTGTTATTTAGAAATGCAATTATTGTGAATTTGTCTGTAGATCCATAAAATTTAATGTGTTAGATAATTGGTTGACCTAAACTGTTGATAACCTTGAGTTTTTGTTGTTGTGTTTTTAGTTGTTTGGTTTATCGATGTTAATTTCCTTGATATACATAATATTTTATTTGAAGAAAATAATTTTATTTCCTTAGAGCTGCCAAATGGCAAGAGAGTATTTTGTTTATCAGAATTTATATACTTTAAGGAAATGGCATTTTAGTTTATACATGATTTATTTTAGTTCAATTGCGTAGGAAGCAACAGTCTCTCAAATATATTCCTGGAACCCGGCCAGTACTAAAAGGAATAAATGTTTTGACCTGTTAGTTTAAATAATTGAGAAGTTATATGATCATAATTTATATATTACTCATAAATCAAACTTTAAAGTTAAGTTATATAGTATTTTACTTTTTGAAATTTCTCATGTGCAAAGTTCCTGAAATAGAGAGGCATTTTTTTTCCACAAAATAGCTGGAAAAAGCCATTAGAATGTGCAATAAAATGATGTTTGCTAGAATGATTTCACCCAATTGTAAATGACATAGAGAGGACAGTTTCACCTTCCTAAATCACGCTGTGAATCAATTTGTATGGCTTTAAGTCTAAATCATTTAATGGCATGAATTGTTTGACATATTTTTTAGACTGACTTAAATTTCTAGACTGACTTAAATTTTTACTTTTGACAAACTTAAACTTGGGAAAAAAACAAATTCTTGTCAAACGTTTTTTCTTGTCAAATGTCTCTTTGTTTTTATTCAGATCAGTAAATTGTTCTTTTAATTATCTGTATTGTTTTAATTTTGATATTTGGACTCAATTATATTTCTGATTTTTTATGTTTTGTATGTATGCTATCTATAGAAGAAGTTGAAATCAAGTTTTCTGGAAGGTATATTACTTTTCCACAGAAAGTTGTCCCAACTGAAAGAATTTTACTGACAGAAGTCCCAAAAGAAAGTAGTCCCAGTTGGAAAGATACCCTGCTGAAAATAGTTCTAACTAAAAGTAACCCCAACAATTATGTTGTTGTTTTTTTTTTTTTTAATTGATTCTCTGATTAAATGAAACAAATTGACAGTCATGTTAATGATTTACTAATCCAATAATTGATATCTTTCAGATGTTTGTGATTTTACTTAATGAATAATACTGATTCAATATCTCATATGATTTTCAGATATTGTACACGGTATGTGCATGGACGCAACATCACGAGGTACGGTTTCTGTACATCGTAGAGCTCGGGTTCCGATGACCTGTCAGATTTGTGGGAGCCAGCTGAAATCCAAGCAGAATCTTCAGATACACATGTTGCAACATACGGGAGAAAAACCGTGGTCTTGCCCGTACTGCGACAAGAAGTTCCGTCGTAAACACCATCTGGACGGCCATATATTCTGTCAGCATGCTCATCTTGCCAAGGAAACGAAGCGAGCCAAGAGATAATTGATAATGGTTGATAATCTGGGAAATGAGCGAATCAACCAATAATAATGATAATTAATTGTTGATAATTGCTCGCGTAGTTTTTTAGTGGAAGTGTTTAAACTCATGTTGAATTCGGAACAGAACATTCAAAGTTAAATGGATTAAAATATCAAAATAAAAGAATTGAGCAAATCAGTGTAGAGCCGCCTGGGAAGACTGCAGAGATGTCTTGATTGGACAGACTGGGTCTGTACTAGTAGCAATGGCTAATCATTTTGGATTTCAGTCGGGAAAGGGTTAAACTTGATAAGACATTGCTTATTTAAGATCCTCTTTCAACGGGGAGGAAATAATTGGGGAAAAGGGGTTTTTGTGCCTGAATAATGCGCGGAAGGGCACCTTGAAGTCTTTGATGCAAAGTTGCCACATATCATGTAACAATGTGACTCTGAACTCAATGAAATTTGCTTGGTTTCTGAGTGTTACAACATGTGTTATTATTAAGAGCCAATTTCATTAATGAACTTTTCAACTCACTAAAAATTTTGTACTATTAAATATATTATGCTTCTTGAATGAAAATTTATATCTTGTTTTAATTATAGCAATTGCTAAGGTTACAAAATGATGTTGTTTACAAATTTCAAGGTTAAATAGAGAGCATACAGGACTACGAGGGTTGTCCCAATATTCTGTGACAGGATTGATTAAAAGCTAAATAAAACAGGTACGAATTTGATATTTCAATATGTTATAAACCCATATAATTTAAACATTTTCACAAATTTCATAGATAAATATCAACAAACAACAAAATTATGCCATAAACACCATGGCATCTAACTGAATCGCGGCGCACGTCCAACGTCAAAGACGGCGTTAAATCTATATAAGGCGCCTTTCTCAAATACTCTCAATTGCTTTCAACGCAATAATGGTACCCATAAATCGTCAATTTTTGACTTAAATCATGTGATTGTTAATGTCTGTTGAATGTTTGGATGGCATACATTAATTTTTTCTATACGCGAACTTCCGGTCTCGTTACTCCTTTTTGAGGTCGGTCTTCCTATCCGTGTTTTACTTTATTTTCGCTTTTTGTAGCGCAAAACTCTGGTTCCGTTCATGCCGTTTGTACACAAATGCTCAGAACATGCTGCTAAACTGTTATATTTGGTATATTTGTTGAAAATCGTTACATGTGTCATCTCGAAATAGTCATGAAACCTGAGTGACATATTCACTACGCCGCAAATTCTTCGAACGTCGCCATTTTAACTTTCCTATTTTATATGAGATATTTTCATTTATTCGTATCTTTTTCGTTTTTTAAGTTATTTAACTAAAATTTTCACAGATGATTTAAACATAGCAGCAGAGGAAGTCAACGTGACATTGTGCAGACACACATCAGATATTTGAAATATACGTAATTAATTTCAACCTATTCATAACAACATGTAAATTATTTGACGTGCGCCGGCAACTCAAACCAATGTCGTTAATACTGAAAATTTCTAAGTAACTAGGGTAATTTTTTTGTAAATGATTTGTTGTAATGTTAAATAATAAACTTTACGGTTATATGTGTGAATTATTTTCTATTGGCGTTAAAAATGAACCGGCTATAAAATTTGTCACGGACTTTTGGGACAACCCTCGTATTTACATGGTGTGACTATTTCTAATTTCAAGTCTAAATGGGGAATATATAAAAACACCTGCTATTATAATATGTTTATAACTTTAAAGCTTAAAGCAGCACACCCACAGATTAAGGGTATTTTTTTATGAAAATTTGAGTGTTCATAATAGAAAACTGTACCAATAAAGCAATTTGGGTGACACTAAAGTACAGCATTGTCTATTTCAAGACATAATATAGCCTGTAATATGTGGCAATCTGCATGTAATATCCCTTTATCCATTAGTTTTTGCCTGGGAACTATTCCCAGCTTATAGGGGGGTGTAATTTTGGTGACAAAAGTAGTAAACAAAAAATGTTTTATTTTAAATAGCACAAGCAATTTCTCAGTCGGAGGCTGTCTGATATTTGGTTCACTTCCTGTGATAAACACAGGGATGAACTGAATAAAAGAAAAGCATTTCATTGGTCATCTTAATCCTTTTCTTGCCAGGTAGTGATCTAGAATGATTGTGATAAAAGTTTTACATTTAATAAGATGCAAGAAATTATTTTTTTTACTTTGAATGAAAATGTAATAGCAATTGAATTTGTAAATTAAAAGCCTGTTTAAACAATTTCTTACATTATGTCCAAAAATCCAACAATTCTGAAGGGCTTTCAAACAAACCCTCGCATAATGGTTGTCATCTAATTGTATTGACAGAATTCTGTGATTTTATTAATTTGAAAAAAGTAAATTACCCAATTTGTTGTTAATTTTTTTTTTCTGTATAAAATTGTGTTTTGTGACGATCACATGTTACTTCTTTTCTTCTTTGTTTGAATTTGTACATGAATGAGTTGCTTAATTGTAATTTGCTTCTTATTTTGTACATTTCTGTTTCTTTTAAATCTGAGTTTGAGACTTTACAGGGACATTAAAGTGGATTGGTCTACCATGGGCACATTTTCTTAAAGTATTTCAAATATTGATAAAAACAGTAGAAATATATCATTTGAATATTCACATAAAATATTTCTTGAAAAAATAAAGTTTGATAAAGTTCTATTTGATTTAATATTAACATTTATACGATGAATAATAATGATATTTTTTTCTAGAACAATTTATTTTGTGCAATATAATATGTAATATTGGATCATGTATCAGCTACTTACCAACAAATATATCCATATATAATTATTCTGTGTTTTTTTTTGTCATGTATGGTAATAAATACTATCAATATAATTATTATTACAGACCTCCCATTATTGACCAATTCACTTTAATAAATGATAACGAGTATATTCTAAGGTGGTTAGGTTTAGTCTGACAAATGTGAGGCTTTGTGCAATATTATACTGTAGGCCAAGTAGCATAATTAGTATAATATCAGCTTGATAATGGTTAAATATAAAAATCATGCTTTTTGATGGTTTGACCTCTTTGATAGGTGTAGCTTTTTTTATAAAAGCTTTTGTTTCAATTAAAGAGAATAAAAAGTGTTGTATGAAAAGCATTTTGTTTTAAATTCTCACCCCTTTCCCTTTTTTAAAGACTGTATGATAGTGTACTGGCTTTGATATTTTTAAGGTTTCACCAGAAAGTAATGTTTTTTTCTGATCATATTACATGATGTATTTATAGAGGCAGAAAAATGTTTGACAAGAAATTTAAACAAAATTATTGTTTGTTTAAAGGGACTCCACTGAGGTTTGTTTTTTGACATGACGAAACTGGAAATAATTTTTCTAGATTTATGTTCCATTTGTTGTATGTTAAGACCAATAACTTGTGATCAAAATTTCAGATCATTCTCTAACTCAGTTATTTTACAAGAATAATTATTCTAAATTGTGAAAATGACCCAAAATTGAAAGCGTTATACCAATAATGCTTTTCACCCAAATCTGTCTAAGAATAGCAAAAAATATGATTTATTACTGAATTAATTATATTTCTTAATCATATTTTGCATAACTTTCTGTATGAAATACCTTCGTTCACTGTTGATCTATGTACTTATTTTTTGTAGGTTTTGGACCTCAGTGGAGTTCCTTTAATTTAAGCATTTTGAAAAGATATTTAAGCTCTCTAAGCTGACAAAGTATGAAGTTCTAAATTCTAAGCAGTTGGCATTTAGTCCAAGTCCATTCACACAAATTCAGGGGTGTATAGGTTAACCCATACCACCCTAAATATCTTAAATGGACTTTCAGTCTTGACTTAATTTTTTTATCATTTTGAAGGAGAATTTCAAGAATACAAGGGTTTCCCAATATTCTGTGACAATGTTGTTTAAAAGCTAAATAAACTTGTTACGAATTAGATATTTTGATGTCATAAACACCCATATTATGGAAACATTTTCACAAATTTACATAGAAAAATATCAACAAACAACCAAAATAGGTTATATGTGTGAATTAATATCTATTGGCATTAAAAATTAACCGTCTGTAAGATTTGTCACGGACTTTTGGGACAACCCTCGTATCTGTACGATGTACTGACTGAATATGGAACAGGGCAGACCATATGATCACAAACTTGGACTGCAATGTTAACATGGGTAAAATCTATTGCCCAGTGCAGGCTCAAGTTGAGATTGCAGTAATTGCACTATATTGCCAGTATGCACTAACATGTAATAAATGCAAATAAACTAATGATTTATAATATTAATTCATATATCTTTTTGCAATATATCAGGGAGCCCTTGATTATCAGACTTATTGACATAAGATATAAATAGTTTTACACATTTTGAAGAAAAAAAATTAAAAAATGTACAGACTGAATAGTGAACAGGGTATAGACTGTGATCAGCCAGCATATTATACAGATGTTCTGGCTGATCTTGGTCTGTTTTTTTCCTATTTGTGCTCGAATTAGTAACCACCAGCAGACCATTAGGGTTATAGTTATGTATTGACTCTGCATTGCTAGCATGCACAATAGCATTTAAAAATTCAATGACTTGTTTATTAATTAATTAATGTTTTTGCTATATTTCAGTAAGCCCTTATCAGAAGTACCGACAGTTAAAGATGATAAATTGCGAAGAATGTGGAAAGACGTTCGGAAATAAGAACGATTTCCGTCGGCATAGCATGATTCATCTTGGCATCAAACCGTTCAACTGCAGATTCTGCGAGAAATCCTTCCGCCGAAAGCATCATCTTCAAAGCCATATACTGTCGAAACATTCCGACCAAATGCATCTAGAATTACCGTCTAATTTAGAACTTGTACAAGATTGAATTTGACCTTGAAGGTCAAATTATTGAATTTTGCTATAATTGGCTATAACTATTATTTTTTATGAATGGATTGCCTTCGTACATTGCCACAACATTATTGTATGGACAAGACCTTCAAGAAGCCCAATTTGATTGTGACCTTCACTCATCAATGACCTTGACCATTAAGGTCAAATTATTGAATTTTACTTGATTTTTGCTACAATTGGCTATAATTTCATCATTAATAAATGGGTTTTTCTTACTTTAGCACAACTTCCTTAATGTCATTAATGTTTTGAAAAAAGGTCAAACTCAGTTTGACCTTGACTTATAGGTGGCCATGACCTTGAATGTCAAATTCTTGAAATTTTGCAGTTTTTGCTGTAATTTGCTATAGCATGGTAAGTTATGATGGATTTTTTTCATTCTGTGGCACAACAATTATACTTAAGACAAGATTTATTTCTTAAAAGTTATACTTTGCTCAAATTTGATATTTGAAAATATTGATAATTGCTGCACATGCAGTCACTTTGTAAATACATTGCGAGTACATTCTTTTATTCAGATATTATTCAGTAAGAATTTCATAGATTTCAATAAAAGTATTATTGTCATTAAGAGCTTTATATAATAATTAGTATATAGATTTCTCTCAAGGGGCTAAGGATTGGCAAAAAAAAAAATATTCAATTTAATTTTGAGTACCGAGTACATGTATATTTTGTCACCATCCATTGCAGATTTTTCCATTTTGGGTATTTTATTTGACTTAATTATGTAAGAATTTCAGATTATATATTTTTGGCCATTTTGACCTCAGCCTAGTTCCTTACATAAACTTTGTGCTACAAGTCCATTTGTTTCATACAATATTTATTTAATATACAATTGTATTATAATTATGATAGTTTAGTCTGTACGCATGGTTTACTTACTTTACATTCTGCTTGTATTATTATCATTTGGCTTAATGTACTACTAAAATTTCTACAAATATAAATTATCTTGTTAAAATTTATATTGTCAGCATTGTATAATATATTGAAAGCTTGTATTCTTTTAAATGTTATATCTATGTAAATGTAAATTTTGTAAATTGAGTTACTTAGAATATTATTGTTTGATTTATTTTTGCTGACTTATACTTGGGTCTCAGTCAGGTGGCATGGATTAGGTTGCATAATTCAAAACATTGTGGCTACATTGTGACTTGATCTATGTTGTTAATTTGATTTGCAATGAGGTTTTTATAGATTAATGACCTACTAATAATGTCCGTCTGTCTGCTGTCATGCTGTACGTCCATTGACTGATAAAACCGTTAAATTTGGCGGCATGTTAGGAAACAATGTCTAGGTTTCTATGATCAGCTAGTCTGGAAATTCCTGAACGTTATTTGACACAGCATTGCTTAATTAATAGATTTGCCACTTATTCAGAATTGTTTTCCAATACAGTATGTGCGACTCAGTAAATGTTATTTGTTGTTGAAATAAAGATTTGAAAATATGACATGTTATTGTTGTAATTTGCTTGCCATGCTATTTAAGATGGTCATGTGACATATTTATATCTTTGATGAAGATCCTACATAGATGCTTCTCCTTTCAATATTTTATGCACAAGTTGGCATCTGACTAGAACCATTGACGTACCCTTCAGTAAGTTCCACTATATAACAAACCAGTGTACAAATTTCATCTTTAAATTATAATTTTCAGGTTCACAGAACTTTGGAGAAGATGTTTCTATGAACATTCCAGCAGATTTTCACCAAATTTACAGTCAGATGCCTGCAGGTCACCAAGCAGGCTCCGCTGGTCAGCAAGCAGGATCTCCCGGCAGGTTTATTTGTAAAATCTGTGGAAGACATTTCTCATTAAAGGGAAATTTAAGGCGGCATGAAGATATTGTGCATAAAGGAAAAGGAAGTTCAAACTGTAGTGAATGTGGAAAATATTTTAGTCGGCCGGATTCGTTGAAGCGCCATCTCTTTGCTGTGCATAGTATAATTTGAGAGAGATTTAAAACCCTTGTTTGCTTGGGGTTATGAAAGTCTCTCATAACAGTAAATGATATGATAACAACTAGTGGATACAATTTTCATACTTAAATTTATATCAAAAGCCCCCATTTTGACCAAGACTTTTAAGGTCTGTAAATTTTTCTAGTGCAAACACTACATTAAATGTTCACGGTGCAAACTTTAACTATCATGTGCCACTGTAAATGTTCCTATTGAAATTGTAAATGTTCCAAATGCAAATACTATATACTATTTTAAATGTTCCCAGTGCAAACACCTGTACACAACAGTGGAAACATCTGTACACCACAGTGCAAACACCTGTACACCACAGTGCAAACATCTGTACACCACAGTGCAAACATTTGTACACCATGGCGCAAACATCTGTACACCACAGTGCAAACACCTGTACACCACAGTGCAAACACCTGTACACCACAGTGCAAACACATGTACACCACAGTGCAAACACCTGTACACCACAGTGCAAACATCTGTACACCACAGTGCAAACACCTGTACACCACAGTGCAAACACCTGTACACCACAGTGCAAACACCTGTACACCACAGTGCAAACACATGTACACCACAGTGCAAACACCTGTACACCACAGTGCAAACATCTGTACACCTGTACATCACAGTGCAAAACACCTGTACACCACAGTGCAAACACCTGTACACCACAGTGCAAACACCTGTACACCACAGTGCAAACACCTGTACACCACAGTGCAAACACCTGTACACCACAGTGCAAACACCTGTACACCACAGTGCAAAACACCTGTACACCACAGTGCAAACACCTGTACACCACAGTGCAAACACCTGTACATCACAGTGAAAACACCTGTACACCACAGTGCAAACACCTGTACACCACAGTGCAAACACCTGTACATCACAGTGCAAAACACCTGTACATCACAGTGCAAACACCTGTACACCACAGTGCAAACACCTGTACACCACAGTGCAAACACCTGTACACCACAGTGCAAACACCTGTACATCACAGTGCAAAACACCTGTACACCACAGTGCAAACACCTGTACATCACAGTGCAAACACCTGAACACCACAGTGCAAACACCTGAACACCACAGTGCAAACACCTGTACACCACAGTGCAAACACTTGTACCCCACAGTGCAAACACCTGTACACCACAGTGCAAACACCTGTACACCACAGTGCAAACACTATATGCCAAGTGTTCCTTTAAGTGCAACACTATAATTTTATGTCACTGTAAATGTTCCTGTGCATATTCTACATGTATATGTTACTGTAAAATTTATGTTCCTGTGCAAACACTATATACCTGACTTTAAACGTTCCCAGTGCAAACACCATATCCCAGTGTTATAATTGTAATTAAGAAAGGAAAAGTTCTGAATTTAAAGTAGATTTTTACAACATTGGTTATTGTACAAGTTACTTTCAGTGAAGGTTTAGGTCAGATTTGAATCTGAATATTGTGTACTGCATGGTAATCTGAACCAAGCAATTTTTGCGGATGCTCAGTTCTGGAGTTAGATTTTGAAGAAAAAAACTGTTTGATTTAACATTTAGTATTGACACATTTTTGTGTACATTAGATAATGATAATTAAACATTTGATGTGCTAATAAAGAACTATTAAGCAACATTTTTTATGTTATAGTTACAAGTGTCTGTTCATCATTTTGAAAAGCACCAAGTATGGTTTTTACTAGTAATTTGGTGTATTCTTAATAACTTAGAGTGGCACAGTTTCTGATTAGCAAAAAAAAAAAACTTAACAAAATATTAATTTATTTCTTTTCCATTTGAACATATCATTTTAATCTGATGAAACTTTGACTGTACATGTATTATGCAAATTATATTCTCATTATCAAGATTCCACATAGTTACAGCTGGAGTGAGATTAAAATTTCTTTACACATCGTATTTTGAAGTGTCATGTGTTACTAAATTTCAGTGGATATAAAGCACTTAGGGCTAGGTTAAGTCTTTAAATTCTCCTTGTGGCTGAGGAGTTGCATTAAAGGAGTGAAATATCAGAATTGCAGTCTGATGGTTTTTCCCTGCTTGATTATATTTTAGAGGCAACTATTTAATTTAGGTGTGAATTACTGTGGTCTATGGATATCTTAGCTCCAGCAGGTGAGGTGGTTTTGACCCCTGGTGTTGCTTTAAGTTTATAACACCCGAGGTTAACCATAATCATCTTTTCTGTTTTGGTGCCATATATGACCCTGGATTGTGCTGGTGCGCCGTAAAAACAAATAAAACAAACAACTAAGTTTTTAATAAAGTATGATAGACAGCTTTACTCATTTAAATATCAATTTAAAAGTTTTCTTGAATATAAAACAAATTCTTCATGAATGTTCCAAATTGTCAGAGTCTGAAGATGTACATGATTTTCTATGGAATCGATTTTTAGCTCGACTTTTCTATGAAAAGGGGAGCTATCCTACTCGCCCCGGCGTCGGCGTCGGCGTTGGCGTCACACCTTGGTTAAGTTTTTCGTACCACCCCACTTTATTTCAGAAGTATTACAAGTATGGCTTTGAAACTTACCATACTTGTTCACCATCATAACCTCCATCTACAGACAAGAGTACATAACTCTGTCAAGGTTTTTGACAGAATTATGGCCCTTTTTTGACTTAGAAAGTGTATTGAGCTTGGTTAAGTTTTTTGTACCACCTCACTTTATTTCAAAACCATTGGAGGTATTGCTTTGAAACTGACCATACTTGTTTACCATCACGACCTTCATCAACAGACAAGAGGACATAACTCTGTCAAGGTTTTTGACAGAATTATGCCCCTTTTTGACTTAGAAAATACATTGAATATGGGTAAAATCCACTTATTGCCTTAACCTTTGAGATATTGCTTTGAAACTTTTAATGCTATTTCACATCATTACCCCCATCTGTACGCAAGAGAAGGTAACTCTGTCAAGGATTTGTTTTAAAAATTAAGGCCTTTTATCGACTTAGAATCTTGGTTAAGTTTTTAGTACCAGTCCACTTTTTGACTGAACTGTTTGAGATATTAATTTGAAAGTTGGAATACTTGTTTACAATCATGATTCCCAAACATGTCCAGGAGAAAGTAATTCTGTCAAAGATTTTATTTGAATTATGGCCCTTAACTGTCAATGTTTTGTATTATAGGCAAGCACTAAAAAACTTAAAAAATCTAAAAAAATTCATTCCTATCCACTTGTTCACTTTACCATAAATTATGTCATATAAACATTGCTGTAATATTCAAGGGTATCAAACAACTAGTTTTTTTTTCTTTCTTACCAGCCCTCTTTTGACTTAAACATTTCAAACTTTGCTGCAGTGTTCAAGGGTATCACACAATTCAGTAAAATAATTCTTCACTAAATATCTTAATGCTCATGGCCATTGTTCACTTTAAAAATACAGAGATTCTTGTATTGCCTTTTACTGCAAAAACTTTTTTTATTGGCAAGCAATAAAAAAGTCGAGCGCGCTGTCTTACGGACAGCTCTTGTTGACTTAGAAAATACATTGAATATGGGTAAAATCCACTTATTGCCTTAACCCTTTGAGATATTGCTTTGAAACTTTTAATGCTATTTCACATCATTACCCCCATCTGTACGCAAGAGAAGGTAACTCTGTCAAGGATTTGTTTTAAAAATTAAGGCCTTTTATCGACTTAGAATCTTGGTTAAGTTTTTAGTACCAGTCCACTTTTTGACTGAACTGTTTGAGATATTAATTTGAAAGTTGGAATACTTGTTTACAATCATGATTCCCAAACATGTCCAGGAGAAGGTAATTCTGTCAAAGATTTTATTTGAATTATGGCCCTTAACTGTCAATGTTTTGTATTATAGGCAAGCACTAAAAAACTTAAAAAATCTAAAAAAATTCATTCCTATCCACTTGTTCACTTTACCATAAATTATGTCATAATAAAATAATTCTTCACTAAATATCTTAATGCTCATGGCCATTGTTCACTTTAAAAATACAGAGATTCTTGTATTGCCTTTTACTGCAAAAACTTTTTTTATTGGCAAGCAATAAAAAAGTCGAGCGCGCTGTCTTACGGACAGCTCTTGTTTATTCTACATCTTGCATTTATAATCTAAAGCTATTTGAACAGATTTCTTCTGCTTTCCACATTTCTTCTGTTGTCTTTTTAGAGGCTGATTTAATCAAATTTATGTAAATTATAATGGGAAGTTTCCTTTTAACTTAATTTATCCGTATGACAGTATAATTATGATGCATTCATCAGGCAGGGACCTTGCAGAAAAAAAAATCACTGCAATTATTAGCTTGTCTATTTCCAATAGAATGTTGTGCTTCTATGATTGCTGCAGCATCATTGTTGTTGTTGTCATGCAAAAACTTAAATGTAGGCCATTACTCAGATATCAATATGGAACTTGGAATACTTGTTTATCATGCCTAGAGGCAGTTATAAGACAAAGGACATAATTTTGAAGCTATAGTTGAGTTTTTCCCCTTTCTAATGTAGAATTTTTGTCAAAATTGGTTATTTTAAGAGACAAGCGTTAACGTGAAATGCCGTGCTCTTGTTACAAAATTATTTGTTGAAAATGCACTTTAAAGCAGCAGAAAACATTAATATGGTTCTCAAAAAAAGTTTTCTGTTTTCTTTCAGATTTAACATTACCATCCTGGCAGCATACTAGTATTTTATCCGACGAGATGTTAAAGTCAACACCCACGTCAGGATTTGACTGCGATATTTGTGGTCGGAGATTTTCACAGAAGGGTAACATGAAGAAGCATTACCTTATACACACTGGAGAGAAGCCGTACAAATGCGACCATTGTCCAATGAGATTTAGACGGACGGACCACCTGCAGAGTCACATGACCACACGGCATATGGAAAAGCTTGAAGAAAAATTCAGGCAGCGTTCAAAAAATGTATGTCAGTTTTGTTCTTAGACAAACATTAATGTTTAATTTCATTTCTTTCATTTTTTTTAACCCTTTTAGATATTGGTTTAAGATTCCTTAACTTCTTAAAATTTAGCTAAAATTTATGAGAAAGTACGCAAGATTGTCATAATAATCCCCATTCTTTGACTTTCGAGTTTTAATGAATAGTTCTCGGAATTCCACCAGAAAGAGGAGTGTTGTGCAATTTCTTTCAAATGGAGGAATTAAAGGATGCGCTCATTCTGTCAAAAAGCTACATGTTACCTTAGTGCAATAACTGATTAACTCCTATAAAATTTAAAGAGACTTAACCCATTACTGCACTAGGATGACATACATATCCATATCAATCCTCGTAACCATTTAATCCGAGCTTTTTCAGCTCTTTTATGGGGTCTCTCGTGTAGTAAGCGTCCAACAGGTGATCACAGCTGTTGTGACAGAGTCGGTGCTTTGAAGAGAAAAGAGGCATGCCTCTAAAATTCATTTGACAGACTCGAATTAAAAAGAAGGTAGGCAACAATATCTTATAGCCGCTCAATGAAAATTATATCCAGAATATTGTCATAATACGTACTTCCGTCTGCAATCTTTCTCGTAAATAGCGAACCATTGCAGACCATGATCGAATGGCATCGATGTATCTTCTGACCTTAGTCCGCTCTGATTGCACAAGTAGATTCATTGTCACTAGCAGCATATGAGAAGAGTTTTCTAGTGGCACATCCTCTGTACAGCAATTACCTCTTTACTACAGCCGGGTATTTCCAAATTAAGACTTCACTAAAGCTTTTCCTCTATAGAACAAATACCTCTTGGCAACAACCAACCAGAGTTTTGCACTGCTGAGGTTAAATTTGCATGGGTATATCCTTTTGCTGTAAGCAAACTTAGGGTAAATGGATTTAAATGTTAACATTTGCTCTTTTTCAGAGATTTTTTTTTATATTTTCAGCTATAATCAAGGACCTGAATTTGTTATGACAACATCTATAAGGGCGATCATTAGAGACCGGGAAATGATCTTAAAATTGAGACACCTAGCTTGCCAGTGATAATGAAGTTCAAGATTAAAACAGCCAAACACTTATGAAAAATGTGAAATACATATTGAATGGACAATGCAAAGGAAATTTTAAAAAATGAATTCAGCCTCAGAAATGAATAACTATTTACTTCCTGTAGAAAGGGGAACACATGTTTTATAATGTTTTTAATCAAACCAAGCCTGAAACTTTCATATAACATTGTTGTTGTCATTGCATCCAAGGGATCAGCCCTTTTCCAGATTTTTATAATGTTGTAATAATGGATTATAACAGAATATAACCAGGCATCGTAAAATATTTTCAGAGACACTCCTGCAGGATGAGTAGCCTCTACATCCAATGTGCAGGCAACATTTTTGTACTGGTCCTGCATTGAGTTCTCTTAAATTTTACTGAGCAGACAAGTGGAATTTGCGATCTCTGATAATTGTGTTATTTACCTCTAGTAAAAAAAGAGTTCTGAATTAGTTCAAATGTAAAAGAAGCAAAATGTATACACAGTGGCCTTTTTTACTTTTATACAAGATACTTAATCACTATAACAGTACTAAATTGCTAAAATAACCTGATAAAGGGGTATAATATCTTATAACCAAACTGATATTTTAGATAAACATATAAACCTACCTGGTGTTTTGAAAGAAAAAGATTCTATCCCAAGCAAATAATAACGTGACAATTCTCTGTCATAGATGTTGTGTGAGTATAAATGACACTCCTGGTGACAGCTCCAGTTATTTCTGTTTTCTGTTTTAAGATTCTAAAAATCATAAAACTTTCAAACATGTAACTATTTGGTACACTGTACCATATAATTGAAGCGTCGTTAAAATTAATGTTTTGCAAAGTCCAAAAGCTGTGTATTATAATTATATTATTAGGATAATAATAGATAATATTGTACTTTGTTACTGTATTGTCATACATAAACATATAATTTTGCCTATACTAAAATATGTATTTGAGCATGATAATTATAATTACTAGTAGTTTAACAGTCATTTTCCAGGTGATATTATGTAGTTGCAGCTATATTAAAGTCTTAAGGTATATTATTATACAATTATACATTTATATTTTGTACATTAAAACTGCATTACATGCAGGAATCAAAGTCATTACATATAATTAAATATCTATTTTGTATGTCTATTTTCTGTAAACATATGTTTTGTACCATATTACATGCTTTTGAGTATATTAGTGAGACACCATGGCAAATTATATTGTGATAATTTCACATTGAATATGAAATTATCGTGATATGATGTATCTGTAAACAATTTTTTTTTTTAATGTAAGAGACAAGCATAATAGGAAAATTATCTGCAGATATATTTTCTCCTTTATTAGATTATTTTTCTGGAATAGTCACTCCTTTATAAATATTTTCATAGAAATAGTCACTCCTTTTCTAGAAGTACCTTCACAGAAATTCACTCTTTTTATAAGTATTTCCAAAGAAATAATCTATAATTTATTATGTACTTTCACAGAAACACACTCCTTAGCCATATAAGTAGTTCTACAGAAATACATTCCATATATGGGCAAACCTCAAATTATAGGGTATGAAAATCTTGAATAATAGGGTATTAAGGGTTTGAAGCAAAATTCACTTGGCTAAAACAACATTAAACTTTTGGCTAATAGAACAGAAACTCTTGATTTTAAACTTTTGGTCAAAACAATAGAAACACTCTTGATTTTAAATTTTGGCCAAAACAACAGAAATACTTGATAGCTAAAAACAACAGAAAATATAATGTACTTGATTTTAATCTTTTGGCCAAATCTACAGAAACACTCCAGATTTTAATATTTGGCTTAAAGCACAGAAAGACTTGATTTTAAACTTTTGGCAAAAACAACACAAACACTTGATTTTAAACTTTTGGCTAAAACAACACATACAGTTGATTTTAAACTTTTGGCTAAAACAACAGAAAGACATAATTTTAAACTTTTGACTAAAACAACACAGACACTTGATTTTAAACTTTAGGCTAAAATAACATTAAATTTTTGGCTAAAACAACACAAACACTTGATTTTAAACTTTTGGCTAAAACAACAGAAACGCTTGACTTAAAACTTTTGGCTAAAACAACAGAAACACTTGATTTAAAACTTTTGGCTTAAACAACATAAAGACTTAATTTTAAACTTTTGGCTAAAACAACACAGAAATCAAGTGTCACTTGATTTTAAACTTTTGGCTAAAATAACATTAAATTTTTAGCTTAAACAACACAAACACTTTAAATGATTTTAAACTTTTGGCTTAAACAACAGAAACAGGACTTAAAACTTTTGGCTAAAACAACAGAAACACTTGATTTTAAACTTTTGGCTAAAACAACAGAAAGACCTGATTTTAAACTTTTGGCTTAAACAACAGAAAGACTTGAGTTAAAACTTTTGGCAAAAACAACACAGAAATCAAGTGTCACTTGATTTTAAACTTTTGGCTAAAACAACAGAAATACCTGATTTTAAATTATTGGCTAAAATAACAGAAACACTTGATTTTAAACTTTTGTCTAAAACAACAAAAACACATGATTTTAAACTTCATACATGTTTTTTTTTGGTTTTTTCAAAGACATCTAAATATTATCAATAATGGCATCTTCTTAAAATAGCTTACAGAAGACTCAGCCTAGCACTGTTCAGACTTTGTTTACATTTCAATTGTAGATGTTTCTATATCTGTTCCTGCAAAACATGATATGTAATTCTTAAAACATAAACAGTTACTTAAATTTTATCATTTAATAGTTTTCTTGCATGACAGTCTTGAAATTTTGTCCTTTATTTATAGTTTTCTTGCGTGGTTACAACTCTTGATTGATTATTAAATTTTTAAAGATTTCAATAAGGTGTCAATAATATTATAGTAATTGCTGCTATTCAGGACACAATACTGAGAGTCAGTATTGTATACACAGAGTTTAATTTTGATGTGTATTTTATAATTTTTAATGCGTAAATATGAAAATATGTGTCTTATCTTAAACTCTGCTACAACATTCATAAGAATTTGATATTAATGCATTTGTGCATATTTTTTTGGTATTGAATTCGATTATGTACATTCATTTGATATACATTTATAAGTACATGAATTTGATATTGATGAATTAGTTCATGTTTGCTTAGTATAAATGAGCCGGGTCATGACAAAACCAACATAATGGGTTTGCGACCAGCATGGATCCAGACTGGCCTGCGCCTCCGCGCAGTCTGATCAGGATCCATGCTGTTTGCTTACAAACTCTATTACAAGTAGTGAAACTGATAGCGAACAGCATGGATCCTGACCAGACTGCACAAATGCGCAGGCCGGTCTGGATCCATGCTGGTCACAAACCCAGTATGTTGGTTTTGTCATGACGCGGCTCAAATGTTGTACACTATACAATAACTTTGTACCCTAATTGGTGTGCATTGCCTCGAAGTACTTTTTTTTTTTAAATACATTAATTTGTTTACACTGAATTTGTGTACACTGTCTTTGAGTACATTTATTTATGTACATTGACTTTGTTTGTCATTTATTTAAATAAAGTGTCTAAAAGGATAGTAAAATGTGACTGTGTATTTGACTTGAGATAGTTAAAGTATCATTTTCACCTACATAAGATACAAACATGGAAAAGAATAATTGAGCCGCGTCGCAACAAAACCAACATAGTGGGTTTGCGACCAGCATGGATCCAGACCAACCTGCGCATCCGCGAAGTCTGATCAGGAGCCATGCTGTTCGCTTACAAACCCTCTAGCAAGTAGAGAATCATGCTGGTCACAAACCCATTATGTTGGTTTTGTCATGACGCGGCTCAATTATGTTTTCATGATATTTTATTTTCAATCATCTCAATATATTGCTATGTAATGTAACCAATAATGTTGTTTTTTCCAATTTTCACATCCCTGTATTGCCAATAATTATATATCATTTTCCATATTGCCAATTTATCCGTTTCTTTATTGCGAATTTATCCATCACCATATTCATTATTGCCAAATTGTGTGCATTTCCATATTGCCAATTTATTCTGATTTCAAAAACTACAAATTATTTTCATTTTTTTCAATAAGTTTCAGATGCAACAAAAAATGAAAAAGTATTTCAATTCTTAATTGGTTTACTTTTTTCTATTTCATCATTTGATTTTGTTTCTTTCTATTGAATTTAATCAGTTATCATGTAACTTGTATTGCAAATGTTTGTAAAAGTCCTTTTCTCTTTTATTTCAGACAACAGTTCACAAGGCTACGAGCAAGCCCGACATATGATTCCTCCGCAGAATTACTCATCAAGGACAATGCCGTCATGCCATATCTGTGGGAAGGGGTTTTCATTCAAGCAGAATCTAAAAACACACATGAAAATACACAGTGGAGAGAAGAAGTTTAAGTGTGAGGTGTGCAATAAGGCTTTCAGACTTAAACACCATCTTCAAGGTCATATGATGACCCATATGAATTCAGAGTAGTGTCCCTTTGCTATGTTTATGGATTTATAATGAATTCAGAGTAATGTCCCTTTACAATTTGTATGTACTTTTAATAAATGCAGAGTAGTGACCCTTGCTATGTTGACGGATTTATATGAATTCAGAATAGTGTCCTTTTGCTATGTTTATGGAATTGTATGAATTCAGAGTAATGTCCCTTAACCATTTGTATGTACTTTAATGAATTCAGAGTAGTGGCCCTTGCTATGTTTATCGATTTATATGAATTCAGAGTGGATTTATATGAATTCTATATATGAATTCAAAATAATGTACATGTACTTTAATGAATTCAGAGTAGTGTCCCTTGCTATGTTTATGGATTTATATGAATTCAGAGTAATATACCTTTACAATTTGTATGTACTTTCATAAATGCAGAGTAGTGTCCCTTACTATGTTTATGGATTTATACGAATTCAGAGTAATGTCCCTTTACAATTTGTATGTTCTTGAATAAATTTAGAGTAATGTCCCTTTGCTATTTATATGGACATGTGTAAATAAAATTCAACGTAGTGGCCCTTGCTATCTGTATGGACTTATATGAACTCAAATGTGGTGCCATTTGCTTTGAGTTACAAACAAATGAGAATTCAGTGTATTGTTATTTGATATTTGTATGAACACTTGAACTCTGAGGGGTGTCCCGTCTTTTTTGTATGAACACATGAATTCAGAATATTGTTGCTGTATGGATTTGTAGTTTTGTATGAATTCAGATATTTGTATGGACAGATCATGAATAATAATGTGCATTCCATTGCCATTTCACTTTGTATGAACATTTTAATTATTTTTACAAAATAGTTTCCCTTACTATTTGTATAGTCTTGTATGAAGTCAATTTATGCCCCTTGCTGTTTGTAATAAACAAGATGGAGTCATAAATTCAAACCTGTACTGACTGTTTGATTTAATTTGTATGATCACATTAATTAAGGGCATTAAAAATCCTTTGCTATAATTAGCTTGTATGGACAAATAAATTCAAAATAGTGAATTTCCTTATGAATTAAACAGTAAACTTGGAGTTTTCTATTGTTCAGATTACACACAATGTGAAAGGAACAATTAGTTTGTATAAGATTTGTTTTTTGTTGTTGTTGTTGTGTTTTTTTGTTTTGTTTTTTAAATCACTAACATTGAAATAATCAATAATCCAGTATATTTTCATATATTTCTTTGAATAAATATTAAATGGTGCACATGAAGATTATTATATGTCCTTACTTACTAGATGTTTATTGAAATTCCATTCTTCTTTACATATTAAATGAGCATTTTATTTGTATATATTCATTTTGAATATTGATTATTATTCACAGAGTTGTGATCATTTGCATGAAAAAGGAACATTGTAAAAATTTGTTTTACAGGTTAATATGATGTTTAAAAGTTTATATTTGGGTTTCTATAGATTTCAAGAGCATTTGACAACTATTTTAGCTCACCTGTCACAAAATGACAAGGAGAGCTTTTGTGATCACAATTTGTCCAGCATCTGTCCGTAAACTTTTACTTGAAAGACATCTCCTCATAAATCCCTAAGCCAATTTCATCCAAACTTCAAAAGAATGTTCCTTTGGTGGTCACCTTTAAACATTGTTCAAAGAATTTAATTCCATGCAGAACTCTGGTTGCCATGGAAAGTAAAAACTTTTAAAAAATCTTCTTTTAAAATACCCAAAAAGCTAGAGCTTAGTTATTAAACATGAAACATCTTCCAAACGGTATCTACCAAGTTTGTTCTAATAAAAGCCCTGGGATCAAAATTGGCCATGCCAGGGGGGGGGGGTCATAGATTTTCCTTATAATTCAGTAAAAACTTAAAAAGTCTTTTCTTTTTTGTTTTAAAACCCAAGAAGCAAGTGCTTGGATGTTTAACATGAAACATCTTCTGTTGAGTGTCTACCAAGTTTGTTAAAAAAAAAGAACTGAGGTCAAAATTGGCACTGGCATGGGGGACCATTGATTTTCCTAATATGTACACATCTTTTTGACTGTTGTTTACCCATAGCAATTATAGCAACCACACATGCACTTTTTCAGACACAAATATGAAATTTGTGATATAGGTTAAAAGTGCCATGCCGGGGGGGGGGGGGGGGGGGGGGGGGGGGGGTCATAGATTTTCCTTATAATTCAGTAAAAACTTAAAAAAGCTTTTTTTTTTTTTTTTTTTTAAAAACCCAAGAAGCAAGTGCTTGGATATTTAACATGAAACAATAAAAATTATCTTCTGTTGAGTGTCTACCAAGTTTGTTAAAAAAAAAGAACTGAGGTCAAAATTGGCACTGGCATGGGGGACCATTGATTTTCCTAATATGTACACATCTTTTTGACTGTTGTTTACCAATAGCAATTATAGCAACCAGTAATGTTTTAACACATGCACTTTTTCAGACACAAATATGAACTTTGTGATATAGGTTAAAAGTTTAGATTTTATATCACATAATCTGCTTTTGTTTAAAGTTTATATGTTATTTCTTGTTCCTTGTCATGGAGAGTTTCTATATTCAGGTGAGCGATTTCAGGGCCATCATTGCCGTCTTGTTAATATGAAATTACAGTAAAGCAGTGCCAATAAAGCCAGGCCTCTTAACTTGGCTGTATATACTAAGGTTCTCGAGTTACCTCAAAAAATAAAGCCTGAAGCCATCCTCACTGAGCAGTTTTAAAGACAAGTTTACTGTTGCCTTTTTTAATAAACTAGGTCATACAGTTATAATGGCTTAATTCTCATATTGCCATAAATATAGCCAGGCTATCCTTGCATAACAGTTACAATAACCTATTGGCTCTTATAATTAATTCAGGCCATTGTAACAACTGACATTAAGTTCATTTTTTCGTTGTCAAGGTGAGGTGAATTTACTATATATATCATTTGATTGACTGTTATAATCATATTGATAAGATATAAATCTGCTGCAGGGCTCTTTTTATATACATAACAAGTAAATTCCAATGGGTATTTTAATTTACATTTTCTTTGGACCAGTTGTTAATGGAAGTATGTCATAAAACTTAAAGAAATTATGGCAAAATATAAAATTATTTGGACTTCCATCTGCTCTCTCACTATATACCTTTAGATGGGTATAACTGAGCACTTATATAATGCCTTCCTGATGACAGTAACAATAAAGTTCGGCAATTCTAGCAGCGATGATGGCTTAATTTTTTCCACCTACATGTATACTGTAACTTCTATTTTAAGAAGTCTGGTCCACTCTGCTTTATTGAATGCTATTTTGAGCCTCGTTTTCTTTGGATATTTTAAATTGAGTTCACAGTTCACCATTGTCATTACATGATTCAGAACAGCAGAGACATAGGTAACATATCTATGTCTCTGAGAACAGCTATAATAAAATAGTTGTTGCAATACGTTTGGCCTTTGGATTAATATTGCTTTATAATACTGTTTGCACACACCATATGTCATGTATTTGAAATTTTGCATTTATTCCTATGGACCTAATCTCATATGTTTAAGTATTGATTTGAGATAATAAAGTACTGTTATGTTCTGTCCTGAAAGAAATTTTTAAGTTATTTATTTGTTACTGTTAGTAACAAGGTATGTCACTTAAGTTGTTTTGCTGTGTGCATGGTTATTGCTCATTTAACTAAGTATCAAATATTATCTTGTCTGTTGTCACAATACAAAATCTTTTGTCGGCAGGTTTGTACCAACAATTATTGTTCAATTAAGTTGTGTTCAGTTTTCATTCTGTAAATCAGCTTAATAAAAGTTGTAGAACAACAAACACCATTGAAATTTGTTTTGTATATTATTTGATATTTCCCAGTTTTGTTAGCTATTCGTAGAATATGAGGAGCTATTGTACTCACACAGGCATGGGGCGTGGGCGTCACACTTCAGTTAAGTTTTCATGTGCAAGTTTTTGTTGTTTTTGTTTTTTCAAAAAATTACTGAATTGATTAAAACTGCACCTACCTGTTTAAGAGCACTGCCCATGACCAATAACTCTAACATGGCCTTTGACAGAATCATGGTCCTTTTTAGCTCACCAGAGCCGAAGGCTCAGGGTGAGCTATTAGTATCAAAGGGGGATGCTCCGGCGTCCATCGTCCGTCGTCATGCGTCAACAATCGTCTTCTTCTCTGAAACTACTGGGCAGATTTACTTCAAATTTGGTCTGTAGCATCCTTGTGACAGTCACACTTGAATTTGCTCATGTCATTCCAATTGGCCCCTTTTAGGGGTCAGCAGAGCTAAAAATAGAAAAACCTTTAAACATCTTCTTCTACAGAACTAATGGATGGATGATCACCAAACTTTGTCTGTAGCATTCTTGGGTAGTGTCTTATCAAGTTTGCTCATATTAATTTGATTGGCCCCTTTTAGGGGTCAGCAGAGCTAAAAATAGAAAAACCTTTAAACATCTTCTTCTACAGAACTAATGGATGGATGATCACCAAACTTTGTCTGTAGCATTCTCGGGTAGTGTTTTATCAAGTTTGCTCATATAAATTTGATTGGCCCCTTTTAGGGGACGCAAAAGCAAAAAATAGAAATACCTTTAAATGCCTATTTCTAGAGAACTAATTGATGGATGATCACCAAACTTTGTCTGTATCATTCTTAGGTAGTCTTTTATCAAGTTTTATAATATTATTTTGATTGGCCCCTTTTAGGGGTCTCTAGGACATAAAATAGAAAAACCTTTAAACATCTTCTCCTACAGAACTAATTGATGGATGATCACCAAATTTTGTTTGTAGCATTCTTGGGTAGTCTTTTATCAAGTTTGCTCATATTAATTTGATTGGCCCCTTTTAGGGGCCGCTAAAGCTAAAAATAGAAATACCATAAATTGTCTATTTCTAGATAACTAATTGATGGATGATCACCAAACTTTGTCTGTAGCATTCTTGGGTAGTCTTTTATCAATTTTGCTAATATTATTTTGATTGGCCCCTTTAAGGGGTCTCTAGGGCTAAAAATAGAAAAACCTTTGAACATCTTCTTCTATAGAACTAATTGATGGATGATCACCAAACTTTGTCTGTAGCATTCTTGGGTAGTCTTTTATCAAGTTTGCTCATATTAAATTGATTAGCCCCTTTTAGGGGCCGCTTAAGCTAAAAATAGAAATACCTTTAAATGTCTATTTCTACAGAACTAATGGATGGATGATCACCAAACTTTGTCTGAAGCATTGTTGGGTAGGCTTTTATCAAGTTTGCTCATATTATTTTGATTGGCCCCTTTTAGGGGCTGCTTAAGCTAAAAATAGAAAAACCTTTAAACATCTTCTACTTCAGAACCAATTGATTGATGATCACCAAACTTTGTCTGTAGCATTCTTGGGTACTCTTTTTATCAAGTTTGCTTATATTTATTTGATTAGCCCCTTCTAGGGGCCACTAAAGCTGAAAATATAAAAACCTTCGAATATCATTTCCTACTGAAATAATTGAAAGATGGTCACCAAACTTTGTAGCATTCTTGGGTAGTCTTTTATCAAGTTTGCTCATATTAATTTGATTAGCTTGGTTTAAGCTAAAGCTTAAATACCCTAGGTCATTGCATTTTTTCAAATCATTGTTTAAACATATTCTATGCTCAAATTTAATATTAGAATATATTGACATTCTAACAATGAAAAGCAGTTGTTTCTGGTGAGCGACTCAGGGCCATCATGGCCCTCTTGTTTAACGTGTTGTCCAGATTTTTGTTTTACTATCGAGCACTGAGAATAGTCAAGCGCGTTGTCCTACTTAAAGGGACTCCACTGAGATTTAAAAGCCTAAAACATAACATTTGAATTTCATACAAAAATGAGCTGGGCACTTTAAACAAAAATATATGCAGAGATAGTTAAAAAATATACTTTGAAATAAATTGTAAATCGTATTTTTATGCTTTTATTAGCCCGATTTGAGTGAAAAGTGTTTAAACGCTTTTCATATTGGGTCATTTTTTTACAATTTGAATAGTTATTCTGGAAAAACGAAGTGCGCGAATGATCTTAAATTATGCACAAAGATAAGTGGTCTAAACCTACATCAAATGATACATTTATCTGGAAAAAAATATTTTCAGTCCAATCATGTCAAAAAAACCTCAGTGGAGTCCCTTTAAAACTGCTATATTTAACTGCATTATGATTATACTTAGAATGACAATATGCACGATTGAGTGGCTTAGTTCATACAATCTGCTCGTCCTTCAGCAATTGCAACTAGTATAATGTGTGTAAGTAAGTAAATGTTTTATTATAGTGATATGTGCAAGACAAATAACGAAAATAAATCATTAAACATAACACCTGGCCCAATGAACCTATAAGTCACCTTAAACATAATATACATTGATAATAGTTCATTTGAAATTATACTACATGTATATATATCATCAATATGATAGTATAAATGGCCATGTATGGTACAAAATAATGTACATATCTATATTAACTGGGATTTACATTAAAATTTGAATCTTAAGATGTTCGGAATAAGATATTTCTTGTTGATAATAATGCATGTAACTCTTATTCTTTTCAAAACTAACTGATAGCGCCAGTAGTAATAAAAAACTGACACTCTTTGATTCTGCTAGACATGAAAAAAATATGGAAACATTTTAACTATAGCACGGGTTTTAATCATGTAATATAAATCCTTGACTATAGTCCTCATCTAATTAAGTTACTTAATGTGTATTTGCATTCTTCCTGATTTGAATAACGTATTTGTTTCGTCGTAAATAAGTTGTTTAATTAAAGTATTTTTTTTTTTCATTAAATTCCTAATCATGGTCATATTCCATCGTTAATAAGTTTCTTTAAGGATATTATTATTCTCGTAAAGATGTATAGGAACATTTTCAGCCTAACAAAGGCACTTATAATATTTTCATTTGTACAATATTTTCATCCTTATAAGCGACAACTTAGCAGTCATAGTGTTGGATTTAATAAACGTAGATGACTCAAATGCAATATATGTAGCGAATTTCCAACACATTTTAACTACACCGAAATTATACTAATATTTTAAATCCATTTCTTCACTTTTAATTTTTCCTTTAGTACAAAAGTCCTACCTTCAAAACTTTCAACACAATTTAAGTAACTCCTCTTAACATCCACTTTTGCAATGACTTTTAACAACTCTTTTTAACAACAACTGACAAGAACACAATAACATCAATACATATTGTAGATAAAAAAATTACAAGAAAAGCATGTTTGTGAACATGTGAATATTTCCCGCCAAAATAAATAAGGAGCAAGACGGAATTTAAGTGTCATAAATAATATTACAGAAACAGAAATACTCAAGAAAAAACACGTGAAATATGAGAACTTAAAGTAAAAGTTATATGAAATAAACATGCTAGATTCGCGCTAAAGTAAGGAAGGACATAAACCGAATTAAACAATAGAAAATCGCTAGAAATTTGAGACAATATACCGGTATTTGGGAATGGGAGAAAAAACTTTAAGCTTTTATGAATATGCATAACGCCTTTGATAGACATAGAATACTGGAAAAAAATATACATGTAATTAAAAGCTACTATTACTTCCATGGCGACCATATTTTTGCTGGTGGCTAGAATAAAAGACCCATGTTAGTATATAATGCCAAGGACAGGATCTGTAGTTCAGAGTTCGATTCCCGGACGATGCAGGTCACTTTCACTGTGATTAATGGAATCTTATCTACGGTTATTGGCACTGAACCTCTGCTCTGGCATGTAAAGTAGTTATCAATTCCTTGCGATAGTAAAGGAAACTAGTACTGGTAAACTGATTTACAGCCTGCCAAAGAACGATGCGGTGGTTGAACTGTGCTCTGGTAAATTCAAATTGGCTTACTGCCGTGAGTCGGTGTGAAAACTACCAACACCACCTGCTCGTTCAAGCCGTCTAACGAGACAGTATTGTTGGCTCATTAAAACTACATACTCATGTTCCTGAAACAATGGGCCATTCCGAAAGCAATGACTATTAAGGCCATTATATAAATTTGGCGTGACGTAAGTAAACCTCGCGTGAAAACTTGTCAGATTTTATAATCATTGTGTAAGAAATGGACACCACGACTCTTCAAACTGGTCAAAAGCAACAATATTTATTTGGTTATGGAGGCTAGGATTTGAATTATTTCTGAAATAATCAGGCAATAGCCTAGAACCATTGAACTTCAATATCATAGCTGGACAATGTCCTTATATTTTTAGACAACATGAATCCAAACTGGACTTTGTATTTTATCAAGCTCATAAATTACAAAATTGAACAGCGCCTACACTGTTCTTATAATTACCAAAGCAAAACAAAAGTCGATAAATCGTAAAAAGGCGAATAATAAAAACATGTCATATCATTTATTATTTCAACATGGTGTATATACATTTAAATATAAATATTATGCAATTGAATGTTCTTGCGATGCCAAGCAAAAGGTGCCGAAAACAATCTGGAATCAACCTACTATTTGCAATTTTTATTTTTAAGATTTAACTGCAATTTTTATTTTTAAGATTTAACTTGTTTTTAAATAGGATTTTGTTTAAATGTCACGGCTGTAACGTCAGGTTCATAAGGGGGTATAAAAATTGCTCTCCGATGGAGATTTCTAGTCAAACATACAGATACAACTCCCCAACTATTTAACAGAACAGATAGATTTATTACCGTATATGTGGAAATGTCTCTTACTGTACGTATAATGGATAGAGTTCTTTTACCATATGTATGGACCGTATGTATGGATAGGGATTTCTTACCGTATATATGGATAAAGATTTCTTATTGAATATATGGATAAATCTCTCTATGGTATGTGGATAGAGTTATTCTGTCGTATGTATGGATAGAGATCTCTGACCACCGTAAACATGGACAGTGTTCTTCTGGCGTATATACATGGATAAAGCTCTTTAATCGGAGGTAGTAAGACGGGAGTTGTGTCCTTCGTAACAAAGCTGACAAGTACGTCACTACTTTGATCAAAGGGGTGGTGACTTACGAACACAATATTTTTGTTAATATAAATAATTAGGTTGTAGAATAGAATAGACACGGATTTATATAACAAACTAATATAAATCCGTGGAATAGATTAGAATAAAATAGAGTGATTAATTTCCAAACAAATGCCATATGTGAACAATTAAATCAAATAAAGATGTTACTAAAAATAAAGCAGCAACAACAATATACTGAGTTATTCTCTGATAAACTAAATATTGCCATATCCAGATTTATCTATGAAACATCACGGCAATATAATTATAAGAAGACAAAGACTCTATTGTTCACCTTAAAATGAGTTTGTTTTTCTTATAAAATACAAAAATATATATATTCCCATGTAATATAAAAGATAAGTTTTGTTTGTGTACAGTAATTGATAAATAAGAAAACTTTCTTTGGTTATATTCCAGACGCTCCCGTGCACCGGATGTTGATGGAACCTGAGAGATACGCGACATCTTACACGTCACATCCGCAACAAATAGAGACGCCCGGAGGTTTCCAATGTGAATTATGTAACAAAATGTTCAAGTCGAAAGGAAACTGGAAGCTGCACATGAAGACGATTCATTCAGAATCTGGGATGTTCACGTGTAGCAAATGTCAGAAACGGTTCAGGAGAAAGCACCATTTGCAAGGCCACATGCTGACGCACTTTCAATTTTAATGAAGAGGCAATGCTTTGCCAATAAATAATTTTAAGGTGAAAAACATTCGTAACTGACTATCTTGTCGACTGGCCTGTAAACTTTTACAATTTTACTATTGTTAAAGGCGGTACCTGTACACAAGAAAATGCGGGATCATTCTGTTCTTTCCGCTGTACAAAGAACATGAAGAAAGGACAATGTCCATATGTTGCTTTTATATTTTCTTTATGCATTTATGTAATTGTAATTATCCAAAAGAAGGGGAATTCTGTTTGCTTACAAGCTTAATCATACGCTTTATATAAAGAATTTTATCATGTCATTGACTGAAAATGTTTTTTTTTTATATCAAAACGTTTAGTTTTTGATTTATTCATTTTATTGGTTTAAGCAGATTTATTTTACAAGTAAAATTTTGTAGAAAGCTCATAAGTTACAGTCACACTCTCGAATCTGTTCCTGGAATCAACCAGGATTAAGCAATGAGTGTTAGATTTCTTGCTCATAGTCCAACGCGTTAATTAGGTAATAGAAAGAGCACCGAAACACGAGGCTATCTGATTTGTACGAGGGGGCGTAGCCCCCGAGTATTAATCAGATTGCCGAGTGTTTTGGTGTTCTTTCTCTTTTGTATCATAGTCAAACATAAAAGCACGTTCCCTGTTGTCACAATATGAAACCCCGGCAAAAATGAACCAATGAACGAACATCTGAATATGACATTTCTGTCGCTTTCTCTTTCTCTGCCGTCACAATATGTAAACCCCAGCAAAAATGAGCCAATCAATGGGCATGCTCTGGAGTGCGGGTAGCTAATACCCGCACTCCAGTAACGCACTGTGCATGTATATGTATACGATTTAACCCTGACACATTTTCAACAGAAAGGTCTCCAAACTATGATACAATCAATTATACCGTCACTTTGGTTAATTGGAACAATTTATTTTGGTTCTGATTTAGCTCGGGGAATGAGGTTGGCTTAATTCTAACCCTTAAAACGCTAAATATCTCAAATGGACGTGTCCATCTTTCAATCTTGACAAAACCATTCATCATTGTAGGGAATCTTTTTAAAGTATTTACTGACTAAATACTGATCAGTGTAGACCATGACCAGACAGTACGGTCTTGGTTTTCAGTGGTCGCATATGAAGAAACTGCTGCCTCGAGCAGACTAAGGATCAAAACAGTGTAGATACCCAATATTAGATTTTGTTACATACACAATATCAGGTTTGATTTAAATTATGGAGGGCGTTTGTTGCCAAAATTCCAGACATGGAAAGTGTACATTAGTCTTGCCTAAGGTACAAATAGACATCTTTAAGCTTATGTATACGCAATGGAAATACGAACTTGTAAATTTGTTTGGTTTTTTCTTTCACGTTAAGTCAGCTGTTTAGATCTTTATGTAAACTTGTTTTTTTTTAGCCGGAACCTTCAATTAAAGTTTGGATTAAGAGGCATATTATTTCCTGTACACGTAAATTGCTGGACATACACGTTTGCATTTTCGAAAGTAGTTGTCAAACGGAAAAATTTACATGTCTGAAAATTTGGCAACTAAAGTCCTCCATATTAAATAAATCAAGTGTCTTTAATAAAATACTGAACATGTTCAAAGTGCGGTTAAAAGTCAGTAGGATAAAATTGTAAATGTTGTGAGGTTACTAGTATTACGTAATACATTGTTGAGTACAATACTGAATTATATTGGACGAGTACACAGCCTTTAAATCTATATTGGACAGTAAAATTTGACTTTCAATAGCAATATTTTTTTGTTTAAAGGCACACTATGTTTCAGAAAGAAATAATTATTTTCCTCTTTAGAAAAGTCAAACATGAGTTTTTATTATGTTAAAATAATGGTTTTAGACAGTGTTAGATGCTTATCACCTGGAGAATGTGGTGCTGAATATGAAATTGTCATAAAATTAGAAAAATGTAAACAAAGTAATGCTTTCAAATAGATGGACAGTAAGTAACTTTTTGAAAACTATAACAGAAGACCAAAAACAAAATGCTTTTGGTGAATTAGAATTAAAGTACATTGTATTTTGGGACATACAATGTAATGGGCCTTTAAGTTATATAAATTTCAAAGTATAAAAACTATACCAAAAGTATAGAGTTTGGTCAGGCCTCATGGATGGCGGTGGAAAAGGCTAATGACTATTTGGTTCCTGCATGTTGTGCAGTTAATTTTCATTGAGTTCTATAAATAAAGTTGTTCTTTATTTGTAGCTATAACTTGTCCTAACGATATAAATGTAATTTGTCCTTTGATTTGTAACTATGACATGTCTTTGATTATATATATGAATAACAACTGGTCTCTGAGTGGTTCATGATAACACATACAATATAACCTGTGCAGAGCAGTGCCCTTTGGGAGACAAATATTTTGGTCTTAACAGAGAGGTATTGCTTTAGAGAGGTTGAATTTATTGACTTAGTTTGGGAACAAGTGAAACTGTTGTTTAAAAAAGGTACATTTGCTCTACAGAAGACTGCTCATCAGAGATTAAACTGGACAATTGTAACTTGCCATTGGGTAATATGTATATTTTATTTGTTTATCAGGAGCTATAAATATTTCTTATTTCATACTAGTATTTACTGTATACTACTTACGATTTTCCTAATTACCAATAAAGGAGTATGTAGACTAACATGACTTTAAATTGAAAATAAAATTAGGAAGAGTATTTGTGTTCAATAGTTTGTACCATTTCCAAAGTAAATTCTGATAGAAAAGGACTGTTTGTTAATATGGTCATCGGCATGGTATGATCGAAATATGAAATCCTTATCCTGCATTGACTTTCTGTTGTATTGGAACATTCCGTGACAATGCCATGTTTGGAGCATAGTCGTGTATTTCGGTATCAGACCATTAATTTTAAGCTTTGACAGCAAGCTTGTCGTCTTGCGTTTTATTTGTACCAGATGTCTTTTTATGAAGTTTCGACACCAGTATTTCAGAGATTATTCCAAAGAGGATTTCATAAAATTATAATGCAGTTTCCAAGCCTAGACTTTGTATGAAACACTCTTGTTATTTTTAGAGGGTTCAGTGTTTGAAATATATTTTATAATAATTAAGTAACCAGCAGTATATAGCCTATCTAACTTTACAGGAGAAATTGTGCTATAATTATCGGAACTACTTCTTAGAGAAAACTAAAATACGACAGAATTCTTTATAGCCATACAAAGGTATCTTTAATGCAGCTGTTTCATCTTTTAAATCTAACATTAATTTTATCACTTCCAGAAAATGAGCTCTTTATATTAGTGCAGTTACAATCGTCACGTGCCGATAAAGCAATTTCTTCCTTGCTTGGCATTTACAATTAATTCAGTTATGATTGAAATTTGATATTACTTCCGGCAATAATAAAGGAAACATTTATAAAAAAAAAAAAGACTATATATTAACAAGCGTATCGAAATTAACTGGATTTTTACAATTATGACTGCGCGTTGCAAGTTTCCAATATAATGCGTGTTAGAGTACATGTACCTTTAATGTCTTAAAGGGAATCGACCTGAAGGTACTAAAGATAATTTTTCGATCTTAAAGTTCTTCTTGATGTAGGTCTAGACCAATAACGTGTATGCAAAATCATTCGCTCACTTCGTTTGTTCCGAAATACCTATTCTAATTGTGAAAAAAATGACACAAAGTTGAAAAGGTTGCAAGCTTTCTATCAAATCGTGCTAAGAATAGCTAAACATACGATTTTCCATTTTTTCCCTAGTATATGTCTTAACCCATTACTTCATATACACGCCTTTTAATGCCTTTTTCAACCCCCCCCCCCTTTTTGTTGTCTCAAATGATGAAAAAATGCCTTATTTAGGCCCCAAACACTTGTTTTTGTTTGAGAAATGTTGTTAAAAAAGTGACCTCTTTTTCGGCGCGGCCCCGCAACCAAAAGATACATCAGGGGGTTGCCAGAAAGGGGATGTGCCCCCTTCTGTTTGGGGGGTTTGAAGGGGGGCGGAGTCCCCCTCATCGCCAAGAAAATTTTGGACTTGTGAGAGGCTGTAAATGACCCCAGATTGATCATAAGGTAACGTGTAACCAACGCTGAAAAGCATTTGACTCTATCTCAAGCCATTGAGAAGTTGCAGCACTTTGAAATCAATTTTGATGGAAAAAATCAACGCAAAATAGTGATTTTTGGCAATTTTGAGATGTCCCCTCGTTGCCATGGTAACAGAAAATTTAAGCCTGAGCATGTTGTTGCAAGGGCAATGGTCCAGTCAACATTTGTGCCAAGTTTGATTAGTGTTGAAGCAGTTTTTATAGTATTATAGCAATTTGAACTTGTAACGGGAGACTTTTCAATGAAAACAGCCATTTTTCACAAAAAGCTCATGAAGTAATGGGTTAATCAAACGTGCCTATCTTTCTGTCTTAATTGCCCGAAATTATCTTTGTAAGAAATTTAAATTTTATGATTTTACACTTTTTGACCTTAGCGAAGTTCCTTTAACAGTTTGGTAATAAATTCTAAAGTTCTTGAACTAAAAGTGTTGATATTTTGTATGAAAATAATTATCAACCTGGTAACTTTCAATTTACAATCTACCAAACCCCAACCCTGCTCCCAGTTAACTAAGAAGATAGCTATTTCTGAATGACAACTTTGCCTTACAGTTACTAATAATGAAGATTTAATGACATAAAAAATAACATATTTATATTATCACTTGATTTGTTTTCAAACTAGTGGAAAACATGTCTCAACCTTTAAAATACTTGTCACTGACCGAAGGGTTTGTAGTGGCTTAAACCAAGAGTTGTCATTATTTAATACAAATATGTCAGAAATAGTCTTACACAAAAACTTTTAGTGGGCTAAACTCTTTGACGTTTAATAATTATAATTATTCCCGGGGGGGGGGGGCAACTTGTACTGATTAATTTGATGGACACATTGGTATGAAACGAATATAAGTTACTTGTGGTAAACCGCTATTCTTCAGAAAAGGTTACAATAGCAATGTCATCACATTTTATTTTTAAGTAGGGTGTCTTAAAATATGGCTCGGAACCTTTCTCCGTTTATTCCTAGTTTTTATTAAAGTGAATTTAAATAAGAAAGGGAAAGTTACGATAACAACAATGTATTCACTTTTACCATTCCACCGTACCTTTATTTTTTAGTTGTTTCCCGCCGGTTGAACCACTCAAAAGGAATGTGCGTTGGCTCTAAAAAGTTATACCGTACTTCATCTAAGTGTCATTCTATTTAAAAAAGTTAAGTGATATGATTGGATACTGCTTAAGCCGGTGCTAGGGGGGGGGGCGTTAGAGATATTGAACCTTCATTGTGCCATGAACAGACCTAATCAAAGTCTCAGACTCTCTGGCATGTGTACAAATTTTCAGACATTTGCCATAAGTTAATGTGTTTACACTCCTATATATAAAACTAATTAAAATAATGCTGGAATAAGAGTTTTCTGGTTTTTCTGACATTTTGCACGTGCACCTATCAAACTGAAGTTTGCATCTTGATTTAATTACTCCCTTTTCCATGTTTGTATATTGTTTATATTTGTATATATGATGTGGATATTTTGCATAATGGACAAAGAAATATCACATGTACTTTGAAAGTAATTCAATATATTAAACTTGAATCTTTTATTTGGAAAACAGTTAGAGCTGCATGCCTCGAGATGAGCCAAAATATTTTAAGAAAGTCAAACTTGAGAAAAATGTACTAAGATGTTAAGAAAAGAAAACAATATTCAAGATTCAAGTAATACTTTACATGTTATGTGCGAATTGTCACTGATTTTGCAGTATTTATCATCATATTTCTATTGCGGGACTAGCGCAATAAGGGCCAGATTTGCATATTTTGACATCTTTATGGTACTTTACATGGATTGGTAGTACCGTTTGCAATGTGTAAATTATTTCTTTTGTTCACCTCACAATATTTTACTTTTAAAATACATTTTTATGAAAATTAGCATAAACTTGGAGATACAATGTATGTTGCTTTAAAGATTTCTTTGTTATTGTTTTTCTTCATATAACAGCTATTGTTTGTTATTTTTTAGGTCTACAAGGCGTCTGCCCAGACATTCCGAAGCGATCCGAGTATTTCAAAATATCCGTTGGCGTTCCGACGTTAACGTACGTATTACCGGCTCACGACAGATTGAATACAGCCAACAAACCGGAATTCACTTGCCCGGAGTGCGGGAAAATGTTCGGATACAAAAACAGCCTGAAAGTTCATATGGACAGCATTCACGTGCAAGAAAAAAGATTTGTATGTCCCACGTGCAATAAAGGGTTTAGAAGGAAACATCATTTACAGGGTCATATGATAACCCACATGAAGCCGTAGTGATAATTTGATCAATATGTTGATGGTTAAGTTATTAGCTAATGCGATTGGTCAATTGTCTTTGGTCCGTTGTCCAATCAAGTTTTAACACCTTTAAGGTCATGTGTAAATATATAGCAATTCTAGAGTCTTAAACTAGGCCATACTCTGTCAAATCAGATGGAAACTTTATACTCTAGATATCATAGTTTTTAACTGGATGTTCATCATACAATGTATTATGCAAAAAGAAATGTTTGCCTTGATGCTATCTTGAACACTGTACGACATGGTTCATCTAGGGTACACAACTAGGTCTGTTTGCATGTCAAATAAAACAAAAATCTTGTCAACATACTGGACACTGCGTTTTGACATCGCGACAACAGGCCGCACGACAACGCGCCGTTTGGCGTGAATCATTAGCGACAGAACGACAAGACGACAGTGCGACGTTTGGCGCTTTGTCGTACTGTCGCTAGCGACAACAAGACGATCAAAAGCGTTCCAATCCAGCCTCCATAGTGGACACATCCACATTAAAGACGTCAAAGTATTTGTCAGATCTTCACCAAACTCTGTCAAAATCTTTTGTTTCAATGTTATCGTAGACAAGTTTGAGTATGGGTAATCAGGGGTAAAAAACTAGGTCACAAAGGCTAATCACGGTAACACATTGTTTATATTCTATATACAAGACTTTATATTGCAATTAATACTTGAAAACTTCAATGTCAAGTTTGAATATGGGTCACCTGCAGTCAAAAACTAGGTCCACCAGTTAAATTACAGGACAACCGTGTTCTAGGTGCCACCTATTCATCATGGTCAAAATGGCTTTCAAGATTTTGTCATGGTTCGAATGTCAAATCCAAATATATCATATTCAAACCGTAAAAAATTTTTTTTTGCTTAAGTCCTTATAAAATTTGAAAGTTTGGGAAAATATGTAAAATTTGAAAGTTTGGGAAAATATGTGTATTGAAGATTTCAATGTCAATGTCGAATATGTTTTATCTGAGATTGAAATTAGGTCAGTAGGGCATATCTTAGGAAAGCTTGATTCATTTGAATTGTTTACTACTTAAAACTTAACATAAATATTCTTTATACGTATACATGTACGATAAAATAATATTCTCGAGAATCTTTAGGAATATAAATCTTTATATCTGCTGTATATAATTAACAACATTATTGGGCTTTCTTACAAAATTATTGTTTCAATTTTGAAAAAAAAACTGCCTCAAAATATGTATGAAAGAAGTGTGTTTGAAAACCACGTTCAAAATATCATTGTGTTAAATAACAGATAATAGATGCATTCTATGTTACCAGTCTTTCAAAAATTGACCGTTTGAAAAAAAAAAAAAAAAAAAAAAAATATGTTCATTTCATGTAAGGGTCAAATTACAAATTACAAAATGTCTTATCTTACTTTTCTATTTGAATCAAACTTAGATGACCTAGATCTGACAAAAAAAGAAGAAAAGAAATAACAAATTAACAAAAAAAATCCATAAAAAACAATTCACTAAAACCAGATCAGACTAGCTTTAATTTGTTACATGATTGTGTCACACGTAAATATTATATTTCATGTCATGTAACAGTAGATGTAAGTTTGCGTTAGAAATAAAAAATGTATATATTGCTGTATTCGTGCTTACGTTCATAAAAAAATGATTAGATACAATTAAAGTTAAATGTCTCCAGATGAGACAAACTATTTTTTTAATCAACCTTGAGAAAAATGTACTAAGATTTTAAGAAGAGTAAAAAATCACAATTGAAGAAATAATTTACACTTTTAATGCAGTTAGTGACTGATTTTGAAGTAGTTATCAACATACGAGGTATGTTCAAAAGGTTCGTGGATTTTTGCTGTAATTTTTTACTTGGTTCATAAAAACACCCTTAGTGAATATGAATCGAAAGAGTGTCTTTATTTTCAAAAGTAATATTTACTTTTATTTCCTTTACGAGTTATGTGCACTTTAATAACCATGGCAACGCAACATCGGCGCACGCCGAAATTTTCATATAATGTTTAGATATAAACAAATGTTGAAACAAATTAAATAATTGTTTTATGAAGTTAAATACAAGTAATCATCTATTAATATTTAAATGACATAAATCTGACTTTTGGCGTCGTTTGGACGTTGAATAGCTGAACAAACAAGTTTTGAGCAGCAGTAGACAGACGGGTAAGTTGGGAAGTAAAAACCCCGTTTAAAAACTAGAAATTCGCTCTTTCGGAAATTTTTACCAATATATGTGGTATACTCCTTTATATTTTTATAAGGTGATTAAATAAACGAAAAACAATGAGTTGTCGAGCAAGTCTCTTGGTTTCAGGTCGCGCAAGCGATTCAAATACGGCAAATACATGCTCACAGACAGAAAGGGCGACGAATAATTTTAGCGGCAAATTGTTGGGACGTTTGTAACGTCAATTGCAAAAGATCTACAGAAGTTCAGGCATTATGACAATTGAATTAACTTAATAACACTGTCCGTTTAGTGTCTAAATTACTCAAAAATCCCGATAAAGAGCGGAAAGTATGCGGCACTTGGACCTTTATACGGAGAATGGAGCGAATTGATGACCACTTTATATCTCGGGTCATCATCACAAACAGAAAAATGGTTTTGGTAAATGATCCGCAGATATTGAACACTAAAAAGACTACTTTCAGAAACAATGACGCTGGTAAAATGTTTCATTTATACTGCAACGTCACGAACGTCATTTTGTTTCATCATCAGCGTGCGCCGGATTGTGCACCCCTTGTGATTTGTAACTGTCACAGAATTTTTATTTGTAAACATATTGTATTGATTTTTTCACTGTTTATCAAGGACATATTTTCATATATGTCTCTTGTAAAATCATATACGCAAATTAAAAGATGTGAACAGTAGAGCCGCAGTCCACGAACTTTTTGAACAGCCCTCGTATGTCTATTTGGTGACTAACGCAGTAAGGTAGTCAGGCATCAAGGGCTATTTATGCATATTCTGACTTACTGTTGGTAATTTGCGTAACTTAGTGCCGTTAGCAATGTGTATATTACTTTCAGTGTTCATTTGTAAATATTTTACTCAAAATATTTCGTGAAAATTAGCACGAATCTGGAGGCATGCTGCTTTAGATGAATGTAATTTTGTATTTTCTATTATATCTGTTATTTTGCGTGTTGTGAAATAAATTGTAACACATTTACTCTAGTTTTCTGTATTCTAGCTCCAATTCTTGGATAAAATATAGTTTTCTGTATCCTTAAATATTTACATTTTGCTACCTTCGTGACACATTACTTTACATGCAGCACTACTTTTCTCAGATATAAAACATCTTACATGGTCTAAATCCATTCAACTCATGAACATTTCTTGATAATTTAAGAAAAATGGATTTCTAAGGCATAGTGTGCCTTTAAATATGGAGCGTGCTGTCCGTAAACGAGCACATTATGCCTCAGAAATTCTGTTTATTTGTATTTCTCAATTTTAATTTTGGTGTCCTTTTATAGTACATTTGTATCAAAAAAGTAACTCATTGGTCAATTACCTGAAGCACCTTTGTCATCTGTTGCTTTCTGACAAATAAGTAATGATTTTTAGGTTAATAAACTGTCAAATGATACGAGTATTCCGATTAAAAAATGGTAGGAAAATAAGCGTACAGTTACCTCGTGAAATGTAATATTTAATGTGTTATGAGAATAAAAACCATAAGAAATCCGATCAATTTGCCATCCTCAAAGGGTATTCAATATGTTTTATTCGTGACTACCTAATTCTAGTGCAACATTCTAAGATGCAAAAATTTTAAAGGCCTATTAAGTCTTAAAAAAATGTTGATGTTGTTAGTTTTAAAAGGTGACTCATATTGGTCATCATAGCTGAGCCTTCTTTTGTGTACATGTATTGGGAGTTGGTACACTTAAAGTGATTTGGTATTTTGTATGAAAATTAAAATAACATTTTGTTAACATTTTTCTACCTTTAGTACAAATTATTTCGCATTGATCTCTAGTTTTCTTCGGATGATAAGCATGTTTCATGTTCTAAATCCATTGTTATAACAGTTTAAAGCAATATAATTGCCACTTTTACGGAAAGAAAAACATATTCAATTCCTCGGGCTTAATGTGCCTTTAAACAAGCAAAAAAAAAAAAAAAAAAAAAAAAAAACAACACACAAACAAGATCAAAAAATAAGCAGAAAGATGACTGTTAATGTGTTCTAATGGTACCAGACAATAAGGGTTCATTCGCCCTTTACGGCACACATAAAAAATTGCTATCGAATTCGAACCAGTCATGCCCTAAAATGTTTCATTTTGAAGCACAAAGTGGTGATAATTTATCTCCGTGCAATTTTATCAGAGTATGAGCCAAATATATGAAAATTTAAACCAAAAGTGAGTCCAAGTATAGCGGTCGATGTGCATCTAAACGTATAGTAATCTGGGCACGCTCCGGATCATCCAGGCAGAGCCCAGGTGAAGCTACGGATCATGCCGGTGCTTCCCTGGTCGTTCCCGGATGACGCCGGAAGAGCCCCGGTTGACCCAGGCAGAGCCCCGGTCGATCCAGGCAGAGCCCCGGCAGAGCCCAGGACGATCCAGACAGAGCCCCGGTTGAACCCCGGTGGATTGACAACGCCCGAAAATGATAACATTGATACATAATTTTTATTTAATATAATATCTATTGATCCAGAATAGTAATTCATGATGATTTTCTGAAAAATCTTTATGCCATACTGGATAGAAGGGAAATGGGAAGGCTATTAATAAAAACAAGTGCAATCATCGCAAGTTGTCATTATTTTTTTAAATGATCCGGGCTTTGCCGGGGCTCTACCGGGATCAACCGTAGCATTACCTTTATCCTCCGGGGCTCTGCCTGAAGTTACCCGGGCTCTGCCGGCATATGCCGGGGCTCTACCGTAGCTCTACCAGTTATATCATACCCCGGATCATCCCCGGTTTTTGCCGGCAGAGCTACGGTGCTTTCCCGGTACAACCCCGGTCGTTCCCGGCAGAGCTAAGGATGAAGCCGGCAAAGCGATACCTTCCCGGATCATCCCGGACCACCCCGGTGATATTAAGTATTTTATTCCATCCGGGGTCGAATGCCGAATGTTCCCGGATCATCACGGATTATCCAGGACGTTGCCGGCAGAGTTACGGATGTACCCGGGTTGTTCCCGGTCGTACCCCGATCGTTCCCTGATCACCCCGGACGTCTACCGGGGCTCTGCCGGGATGTTAGTGAGACTGTAGCTTAAGCTCGGCAAAAGTTAATGTAATAAATAGAATATATGTATACATGTATTAAAGGTTCATAAAATCTCGCTTTATCATGTCCAGAAAATGCATAACAAATAGTCTCTTTTTGGGAAATTTATAATCGTCGACATTTCGAGGGAAATTGTTTTTAAAGTCTCGGCGATGTTTAATGAACAAATTGCCGGCGACTGTCCAATTAAGAATGTCAGCCAGCATGGCAACACTATTCCATTGGGTGGCATACGCAACCAAGGATTTCTGGTTGCGTGTTTTCAGATCCCGTCAGGGGTTAGGTGTAACTATACACTCATTGCTTATTAATCCCCTTCCGGTTTAACCGGACTTAAGGTTTACCCTCCGTCTGTCTGTCCGTCTGTCTGTCATCCGTCAGTCCGTCCGTCCACAAAACTGGATCCCGCAATAACGCAAAAAGTGCTGAAAATATTTTTTATGAAACTTGAAATATGGATCGATGGCAGTATGGAGATTATGCGCGTCTTTTTTTCTTCTTATGTTGAAAATTCTGGTTGCTATGGCAACAAATAGTCTGAAAATATGGCAAATTTAATACTTAAACTGGATCCAGTGATAACTCAAAAAGAACTGTAAATATTTTTTTGAAATTTGGAATTTTCAAGATTTCTGATTAAATTTTTTCAGCTGTTTAACTTAAGTTCTTTATTTCTTAAGGTGTTTACTTCAAACTTTAAATATAAGTTTCTGGTCATCAACAGCATCATTTGTGACAAGGTTTACAACTCTAGCACAAACATTATCAGCATTACCTCCCTTGAACTTAGAATTTTTATGAAAAAAAGTTGTCTTTTTTAAATAACTTCTTTATTTCCTAATGTATCTACTTCAAACTTCATATATATGTTTCTCATTATCACTCAACATTTTTGAGAAGGTTAAATACTCTAGCAAGACTATTTCCAGAATTATGTCCCCCTTGAACTTAGATTTTTTTTCCCAGAAATTTGTTTTTTTTTATTCCAACTTCTTCATTCCTTATAGGATTTACTTTAAAATCTCACAACGTAACAATATGACATGGTTGTATAAACATAATTTCCTTACAAGGCAGGGACACTAAACACATTACTGTGATATAGACAAACTAAGAACTCAAAAGATTTAAGTTCATTCATGTCATTCATTCACTTGTAAATGGCCAATGGCCCATCAGAATGTTGCTGTGGTTCTAACCGGTAGGGGACTTATGGATTGCTTGCAATACTATGATTGTTACTGGTTGGTTCCAGGAAAGAATTTGAGAGTGTGGCCATCAGCTTTTAGATTTCTACACAAAAGAACTTAAAAGATTCTGTATAAAAATTCACTGCTTCCTTTTTAATGGGCAATAAATACACGTGGTATACTTAAATTGTTATAATGTTTAACACGTGCACCTTATTGAGGACCTAAGATGTGTTTTTTTTTATTTTATACAAAAACAATGTACAAAGTAATTGGTTAAACAACAGGCAGGAGTGGGAAAACAGTTTGTTTTACTTTGTAAATGCGTACTTTCAGGTGTTAAACAAAACAACTTTTATTTTAAATGTTTAAATTACTTTATTTTTTAAATGGCGTGATGGTGAAGGTTCATTGTCAGTTTTAAATAATATCTAATTGCTTTTTTCAATTTTATAAGCTCTTAACAAATGGGTTTTCCTTTTTAAAACTGCAGTAATGACGCGTTTTGTAACAGCTAGCGTTGAGGGGAATAATAGATTTTAAAAGTACTTGTTGCCGATAAGAAATTCCAACTTCCTCTGCTTTGTTTTATTCTTAATGTAAATTTTAAGATATATACGCATGGTAAAACTTGAAGACACTTTAGATGAAAACAATAAACATAAAACGCATTAGAGCTAAGGAAAGTTTATAGAAAATGGGTTAACCTAGTAATTGTTTAAGAGTGTCAGTGGTCTTGGTTTCATTAATGTCAGGTATTTAATTGCTGTTAAACCTTTTTTAATCTCAGACCGTCTCATTTTTTATTATTATTATATCATAAAACGCATTAGAGTTAGTGCAAGAAATAAGAATTAGGTTAACACAGTTTTGGTTAAGAGTGCGTCAGTGGTCTTAGTTTCATTAATGTCAGATAAATAATTTTTATTTGTATCATAGTTTGGGGACCTTTCTGTTGAAAATGTGTCAGAGTTAAATCGTATACATATACATGCACAGTGCGGTAACTGGAGTGCAGGTATCAGTTACCCGCACTCCAGATAATGCCAGTTGATTGGTTCATTTTTGCTGGGTTTTACATATTGTGACGGCAGAGAAAGGGAAAGGGGCAGAAATGTCATATTCAAATGCTCGTTCATTGGTTCATTTTTTCTGGGGTTTCGTATTATGACAACAGGGAACGTGCTGTCATGTTTGACTATGATACAAAAGAGAAAGAACACCAAAACACTCGGCAATCTGATTTATACTCGGGGGCTACGCCCCCTCGTACAAATCAGATAGCCTCGTGTTTCGGTGCTCTTTCTATTACAAACATTTCTTTTTAATTTTCAGATAGTTTAATTTAATTTATTTATTTATTTATTTATTTATTTATTTATTTATTTATTTATTTATTTATTTGCATTATATATTTTATCATCTGTACCAAACTGGTGAATGCATTGTGTGACGAATTCTTAGAAATATTTTCTGTGTGTTGTGTTTGCAGTTGTCTATACAGTTTGAGACTGTACGATTGTAACGTCCGTCACTTTTCATTGGATCATCGTGACGTTTATATAACCTATATTCACGGCTGCTGAAAGTATTATTTATGAAGTAATGTTATTTTACCCTCTAAAATGGAAGTTTAATATGAATTATAAATTCATCTAAATATTATTGACAGGTTCTATGGCCGTATATAAATGGTTATTTGCAATATAACTGTTAAAAAATCTCTACAACTAATATAATATTGGGTATTATAGAGTAAAGCAACTAATGACATCGCAAGCGTATGGTTATTTCTAACTTATGGTACCTGCGAACTCTATAGCAGTAGTATTATGAATTTATATTCCATCCATTATTATAACGTAATAATTACAATTAATTAAATTTTATAAAATTAGCGTTACGTAACTCCAGCCAGCAGCCACAAAGGGAGATAAATATGAAATGTAATTAGTCAAGATAGATATCAATCTCCACGCAGTGATCTCCCCTTAATTCTTCGTAGAGTACTTAAAAAGGGAAGTAACCGCTGCGAGGAGTTTGAACGCTATTGCTGACAAAGGGAGATAATTATAAAAATCATTGCTTTGTTGCAATCTGCGAATTTCTTGCATTGCTCTGGAGGGATAAAGTCTCATTTTTAGGATATTTAATGCAACATATTTTGTAAACTTATGCTAGTCTTGTGCGATCATATAACTTCGTATTTTAACGCCATATAACTGATCACATGAACTTTTCATATAATATTAAAACCATATACAAATTCTTCATGCAACATGATATTTTTTACACGCCATCATTATAATGCTGCATTTTGTAACATCGATTTTTATTAATAGACTTTTCAAACAACTCACTTACAGATTGACTAATTGTAATATCAGGTAAATTTGCAAGGTAGCCACAATTCTTACATTGATCTTATAATATGATCGATTATAATTTTCATAAGATATATGCTGATTCAAATAGAACAGTAAGATGCACGTTTATTCCTTATAGGAGTTTGTGTATTGTATCAACCAAAAACACTCTTTAGCTTCTTTTCTATTCTTTAGCTTCTTTTCTATTCTTTTAGTTAACCTTATCACAAGAAATTACACTATGGGAAGTTGTAACCATACTTGTTCACTAAAGTTTGTATGTACATGTATATCAAAGTCTTGCCACCAACAGTGCCGCCAGTGCTTTGATATTACATATATCCAGATCTAGTTATGTTTTGTGTTATTTTGTTTTTAAAGCGGTCTTCAGCTTTTATTTTCCCTTCGGAAAAACAATTCTGTGTTGTTTCAAACTAAGTATTTCTATAATTTTATCAACATTAAGCCTTCTTCAGAGCTAAGTATATCGCATCAATGACATTGTATCTAAAAAAAGAAGATCGGGAAACAGATCGTCTGCTTTACTAATGTGTAACATCCGGTAGATAAGCGATATCGAGGGATTTTCTTTTTGTTTATGTATTTTATCGACGGCAAATTACATTTCCACTTTAATTCTTTATATTTGACAATTAAATGAAAACGATTTATCTAAAAATAACACATTTTAAGTGTCGAAAGCTGAAGGCCGCTTTAATATCAATTTCTGAAATGTTTTATCGTGTTTTTTTTTTCTCTCTTATTTTCAATATGATACCTATTATAGTTAAGCACATATTTCAGTTGTTTTGAAATTTATTTAATTTTATTATTCACCGTGTATTTTGTTATCAATTTCAGGGTTAAAGAAATTTTTAGACGATTGTGACATAAGTTCTATACCAGCACAGCAGAGTCGTCAAACAGAAAACCATTCCGGACAACAACTGACGGAATATAAACTTTACTCATGCCCGTATTGTGGCCGGTCTTTTAGTCAGAAGACAAACATGCGGCGCCACGTTAAGATTCATACTGGAGAGAAAGACTGTAAGTGCAAGGTGTGTGGTAAGGAGTTCCGGTTAAAACAACATTTAAAGGGACACATGTTGACTCATATGAAATAATGTATTCATGTGATTGATTATTGTGTTTATTCGTAAGATTTCAAGAATTCAAGATTTTATTACAATACATGTAAATATGAGGTAGTGGCAGTAGATAACGCACAGATAAAAAAAAGACATAAACATTTATAAGAACAGATATTTCATTTTCTTATGATGGAAACTATTTCGAATGATGGTCCATTGTGTAATAAAATTGAGTAGATGAGTCGATTTGAGAAAATAACGAAAGTTGTTTTTCTTTCTTTTTTCCTTTTTATTATTATTATTATTATTTTGGACATTACAGAAGGTGTTTTCTGTTTCTATGTTTTTTATTCAAGCATATACAAACGTCATATACAATCTCCAATATTTCATATTCTCGTTGAGAGATTCTATTAAGTATTGGAATTTAGTCACAGCGCTTCACTTACGTAGCTGTGTGCGGGAAGCATGGATCGGAATTCAACGAGCTTTTTTAATAACAGTGATTTTAATGAAGAACAGAATTTACGTCAGTTGGGGATTCCTGATTGGGCACGAATTTTACAATTCGTTTTTATGATTTTATTATTTAATTTTGGATTGCTAGGTAACGGGATAGTTGCTATTATTCAAATACGACTTAGTGATAAATCGAGCACAGACTATCTCGTGCTGACAATGGCGCTGTTGGATTTCTTCTGCAGCACGTGCGTCACGCCGTTTTACATGGCGCAAAATATCGAGTCGGTTTGGAAAGCTGTGGTTTCAAGTACTCTCTGTAAAATGAAATATTTTGTGGTGTACGGAACTAACATTTCTTCAACAATGTTGTTTTCTGCCTTAGCTTTCGACAGGTATATGAGAACGTGTCATCCGTTCAGTTCTTTATACACGTGCCTAAAGTCCAAAATATTGTGCGTGTCAATTATTCTAGTAAGTTTTGGCATAGCACTCTCGGCATTCTATGTTTTCGACCAGAACGAGGCTTTCAATGACTGCGTTAAAGTCGAGGGTTCTAGGGTAATGGAGACCATAATGAATTCCTGTTTGACTGGAGCCTTTGTTCTGCTATTCGGCATGGTTGTATTTTGTTATACGAAAGTTGCTTTAAAGATACGGAAGCGGCGAAACGACCGAAATAAGCGGAAATGTCAATCATTGGAACAGCGTAGCTCGAAAAGTAAGAATTCCGGTCTTTTAAAGTCGAATAAAGTCGTGCCTTTATCATCATCATCAAGGGATGGTTCCCGTTCGTCTGAAAACGACAGAGTAAAAAATGCTAGTTCGACGACCCCGGCTTTTGGCTCTGCTCGGGCTTGTTGCTCGGATTTTACAATCGACACCCTTAAAACCGGAAATGACAAAGTGGACTTTGCAGAGCGGGAAAATCGAGGGAAGGACCTAAACCATATGAATTATTTGGCATTGACACCGTCGGCGTTGAAGAATCTAACGTCAAAACGAAATGACCAGCCTTTCGCCATGCAAAATCGATGCATAATTACAAAACAAGAACTTTTAAAAGACAATGGTGCCTGTTGTCAATTGAAATGCAAAAATGAAACTGTCCAGTACTTAACTAAAAGTTGTCAACAACCGTCTAACTTTCATCACCAGTACCATAAAAAGCACCAAACGTTGCTGCAATCAAACAACAACGAAAATATAAAACAACAGACTCAACAACAGCACTTGCAACAGTCGGAAGACAGCACTTGTGTGTTGTCCGAACGCGAGAAAAAGGAAATACGTAAAGTTAATTACGTCACATTTATGATGTTTACAATTACCGCAACTTACGTTCTCACGTGGGTTACCACCTGGGTTATGTACGCCATATTCGACCAGACGACAGTGACTGGGCGCGTGATTCTCTACCTCACGAAAACCTCGTTTGTTGTAAATTACATCGCAAATCCTATATTCTTCACTTTTATGAGCGCACGATTTCGTGAGAGGGCCAAGAATCTCATCTTCTGTCGAAAATAAAAATTAAAAAAAGAAAACGTAAATTTGAAAAGATATATATATATAAATAGATTCGTTAGCTTGTAGTGATGTTTGTCATGCATTGCAGCAAGTCATGAAATTAAAGATATACTATGCTCATCCTTTAGTAAAATATTATATTAGTCTATACAATTCTTACTGAATATGTCTTATTTGAATAAAAGAATGAATAAACTATGTATGGGAAGCTGCGTTCCCTATTACAGGCCAAGTTAATTTCGCCCTTTCTTTAAAAAAACTGCCAGCTTATTTAATGACTCTATATATTCATACTGTGACCACCTATAGTGTGTAGTTTTTTTAAAGGCCCTGTCACACTAGACTATGCTTGCAATGCGTTTCCACGGCATTGTTAAATTTAACAATGCGCCGCGTGATTGCAAGATAAACTTTGATATTTTTGATGACATGGATACTTCGCGGCATCGTCACGGCGATGATGGCGTTGATATTACAGAGTTGGCATGGTGTTGTAATGCGTTTAAAAACCTGTCACACAAAAGCGGCTTTCTCACGGCGTCCAAAAGAAATTCAGAACGCCAAGGTGAAGGCAGTAAGATCGCAAGCATCGCCCCAGCATCGCATAGACACCGACCGACGGCGCATTTTGAGCATGCTCAAAACTAATGCCGTCACTCGGCGTTCTGATAAGAGCGCAGTGGGATCGCAGTAAGAACGCCGTAGCAAGTTAGCAACGCAGTAGCATCTCCTACAACGCAACAGGAGCGCCGTGAAAGCGCGGAAGGATCGCCGAATTAACGCCGTGGTTAGCTACGGAAATTGTACAGCGTCTCTACCTGTGCTGTGTACGGCGCTCTTACGAAGCTTTACGATTTTGGTGCATTGTAAGCACAGTGTAGGCGCCGCTTGAGCGCCGTAAACGCGCAGTGGAAGCGCAAAGAACGACGCAATTCAAGCGCAGTCCGGACACAGATAATAACCAATTAAAACGCCTCGAGAACGCATAACAAAGCCATGGAAGCTCCGTAGCAACGTCAAGATCGCCGTGAAGACGCCTTGAAGTATCCATGTCATCAAAACAATCAGATTTTTTTTGCGATCTCGCGGCGCTTTGTTAAATTTAGCAACGCTGTGCAAACCCAGTAAAAGCGCAGTCTAGTGTGATAAGGCCTTTACGACGTTTTAATTGACGATTGTCTGCGTTCGGACTGCGCCTCTACTGCTTTCTTTGCGCTTCCACTGCGCTTTCACAGTACTCACACTCCTCTGAAATCTTAAAGCTACGTAAAAGCGACGTCCACACGCAGTAAAAGCGCGGTACAGACGCCGCATAATCTCCGTTCAAGAGCCGTTGCTAACCACGGTGTTCATTCGGCGATCCTTCTGTGCTTCACGGCGCTCCCGTTGCGTTGTAGAAGGTGCTACTGAGTTGCTACGGCGCAACTGCGGTCTTTTAGAACGGCGAGTGACGGCGTTTGTTTTGAGCATGCTCAAAATGCGGGCCGTCGGTCTGCCACTACGATGCGTCGGCGATGCTGCGGCGTTGTCGCGGCGATGCTTGCGATATTACTGCGCTCACCTCGGCGTTCTGAATTATCTTTAGACGCCTTGAGAACGCCTCCCTAGAGTGACAGGGGTTTAACATAACATAACTACTCTGTGTGAAGTCAAATCATGTTTATTTCATATTTACAAAGAGACTGTAGCAATTATTTATATTTTCTAATATGAGAAGTGAGCATAGTATATCTTCCCTTCAGTTATAAAGCTGATCTAAGGAAATTATAATTTCTAATTCCTCGGGCTTCACTTCTTCATCATCATCATCTGATTTTACCATGACGACTTTTGTTATTAAACGTTTATGATAAGACAGAGTTTATAAATCAGTGCAAAGTTAGCTGAAAGAGAGATGCGATTGAAATCTTTAAGTGTATTGGTATGCACATTTTTCAAAAGTATTTCAAATATTGAAAAATGAAAAAAAAAAACACAAAGGAAGCGAAATAATTCCGGAAAACGAAATATTAATAAAGTGATTTAGTGTGAACATATATATGATAAATTAAAATATTTTGTTCTAGAAATCTTAGATATATGCTATATATTGATGTATTATATCGGATCATGTATCTTATACTTACCGACAGCATCCATTTATAATTATTCCGTGATTCGTTTTCACGTATTAATTTATTAACATGATATTTATGGTATTACACAATTCACTTTAAGGAAAATCATGGTAGTCCTAGGAGAAATAGAATTCTTGCTCAAAGACGGGTTTTATTTTTTTTATTGTTATTGTCAAAGACGGCAAAATACATATATTTCTTATCTGGTTTATTCCTAGCGTATAATTCTCCAGATGACGCCTAATATATCTCCATACTTCTCCCTAAAGTCTCGAATATAACCGAATTATGTAGAGACTGTCCACAGTGACTCCCTGTCTATAATGACCTTTTTCTTTTCTCCCATCGAAGGTCACTGTAAACAGTTTTTACTGTATGCAAAAATAGCCCTTACTGCGCAGTAAAGTTATGGTAATAATTACTACAAAATCAGTCATTATCTGTACAGAACGCTTGAATCTTTTTCCTTTTTAGTTCACCACGAAATGACAAGGTGAGCATTTGTGACACCATGTTGTCCGTCGTTCAAATTATGATCCCAGGGTCAAAAGGGGCCCTGTCAGGGGGCTCCTCAGTTTTATATAAAGTTATGTAGAGAAATCTTAAAAAATCTCTTGTCAAAATCCACAAGGCGTAGAGCCTTGATATTTGGTATGTTATACAAAGATTGTTCAAATTATGCTCCTAAGATCAAAAGGGGCCCTGCCAAGGGACTCATCAGTTTTATATAAAGTTATATAGGGAAAATCTTCTTGTCAGAATCCACAAGGCGTAAAGCCTTGATAATTGGTATGTAACATGATCTAGAGGTTTTCTACAAAGATTGTACAAATTATGCCCTTAGGATGAAAGGGCCTCCAGGGGGCTTATCGATAAAAAAATTTAAAACCGTTTTGTTAAAAACTACAAGGCCTACAGCTTTGATATTTGGTATGTAACATAATCTAGTGGTCTTCTACAAAAATGTTCAAATAATAACCCCTAAAGCAAAAAGGGGCCCTGCTTGGGGTGCTCTTCACTTTTATATAAAGTTATATAGGGAAAACTTAAAAAATCTCTTCGCAAAAACCAGAAGGCCTAGAGCTTTGATATTTGGTATGTTCCATCATGTAGTGGTCTTCTACAAAGATTGTTCAAATTATGCCCTAAAGACTAAATACAGGCATACACTCATGCCTCAGATGAGCAATCCAGGGCCCAAGGACCCTCTTGTCTTATTTCTCAAATGTGAATTTCTTGAAATATTTTGGGACATCTGGAGGCAATGCAGCTTTAAAGCATGGATATTTTTTGTCAATTATTATCTAGAAAAGGATGAAAGCTTGTTATTTTGAAAGCGTGTTATTTTTTCTTCTATTTAAAAATGTCAGAACTGACAATTTTCAAGACCAGAGTATTCATTACGGAATGATAAAGAAAATGGTTTTCTATAAATAACTGGTAACATGTTGACATACTTAAATAGGCAGCATATTCAGTATGCAAGTACTTCTAAAACTGCTGATTTACGGTAGTCTTACGACACTGCTTCCCCGTCTAACATCGGCCAATATCGCAATAAATCGGTCGTTTTCGGAACGTTGTTTTTCACAATCTTCGGTATTAAATACTTTTTAAGCGTCTATAACCGGAATTTATATTTGTTACGGATCTGATTTATGTTTGGACAACAGAACACATGACTAAACTGACATGCTGATTTATTCAGATAAGGCATTGACCTTTAATTGACCTTGACATTTAAGATCAAATAATGAATAAAAGATCCTGTTACACAATTTTTTATGGTTTCATATCATAATATGAAGCTCAAATTAAGATTAATCAATTTTGAAAGTTTCAAAAAGCATTATTTATAAAGATAGTACTGAATTTGACATTTCATGTAAATAAAGGGAGGTAATAAAAAAATTATTTAAAATCTAAGTCAAATTTTTCAATGAGAAATAAATGCATATATTTTAACCATTAAATAATATATGTACCAATATTTGCAGCACATATTTTACATATATTTCAATGTTTGAAAATATTGTTTTATAAGCATAATTACATTGTATATGCATATATATAATTTCACTGAACTGTGGTATAAAATCTCAATTACAACATACAGGATCTTTAGATTGTCATTAATTTGTTATTTATTTACAGATGTAGATTTGATATATAATTGAGCCGTGTCATGATAAAACCAACATAATGCGTTTGCGACCAGCATGAATTCAGACCAGCCTGCGCATCCGCGCAGTCTGATCAGGATCCATGCTGTTCGCTAACAAACCCTATAAGAAGTAGTGAAACTGATAGCGAACAGCATGGATCCTGATCGGACTGTGCGGATGCGCAGGCTGGTCTGGATCCATGCTGGTCCCAAACCCATTATGTTGGTTTTGTCATGGCACGGCTCATATTTGGACAAAAGAACACATATGACAAAAACAACATCATGAATTATTCAGATATGACCTTCACCTTAAATTGACCTTTACCGTCAAGATCAGATTGAAATATACTTCAGTTGTCATAACTTAACTATTTATTTAATTTATTAATTTTGGCTCATTCTTGACATAACTGACAATGATTTATTCATATGTGACCTTAACCTTTGAATGACCTTGACCGTCAAAGTCGAATATGAAATTTGAATAAAATTTGTTCAAGACTGTTTTTGTTTTCTAGGAGTATTATTTACTGCAATAGTTATTTCTTCAATGTGTTTGACCTTAGGTATAAGAAAAAGTGGAGCCTAGTTCCCGCCAAGTGGTGGCTCTTGTTTCTTGTGCATAGTGTAGGAACTCTTCAGAATCAGCCAATTGATGGCTTTAATGACAATTTTGAAACTTCGGACGCGTGAATATTTGTAACCTAACAATCTTTTGGTTACATTTCAACTCCCCTACTTATACGACATTTCAACCCGTAACTTATAAATTTCATTTCGTCATAAAGTCATGTTTGGCTGTAGGTATGGTTATTGTAAGTTTGTTTTTCAATTATAAACTGATTCTATTTTTTTTGTTTGTTTGTTGTTTTGGGTTTTACGTCATTTCGACACAGTATAGGTCATATCGCGACCTTCCAGCTTTACGTATAGGATATCGACCGAGTACGAGGTCTTTCTGTTTTGGAAAGACCTGGTCACGAATTTCATGTGACACCGAGAGCGCGTAGCGCTCGAGGTGTTTCATGAAATTCGAGTACGAGGTCTTTCCTAAACAGAAAGATCGATGTACG